GAAAACGTCAGGTAGCATTTAACTTAAGGTATACCTTTACTCAGATGACTAAAACTTCCACTGATAAGAACAAAAAACCACCTATTGCACATTGTACACATATAATTCTTGTGTTAAATTTCAAATTCAAAAAACTAGGTCAACGACCTACTTTTCATGCTAGTGACCCCTGAGTATTTCTCGGGAAATACCTCAATTTTTCACTCTATGACCAATTTTTTCTTCACTCATAAAATATTACAAGCAACAAAACTCTTTGAATAATGAAATATTATAGCAATGGAACAGTGTTGCTTCATATAAAGAAATGATTAACGTTTTGGCCATAAACTTGATAATTATTAAAGTTCGAATTTCCTCTGTCATATTTATATTTTCCCCCATTTTTAATTGAATATTTAAAAGATCTGACTGATAAGAACTCTAAATTATTTATAGCCTCATATTACCTTTGTTGCCGTAATTCTCATGGTATTAACATTATATGGGGTCAATGATCAAATTATTGAGATATGTTGCCTTGAATGGTTTTTGTTCACATTTTTGAATTTCTTTATTAAAAAGCATTCAAATTATTTGAATAACTTATGAGCTTTAAGACATATAAAATTTGCAAAATGATGTCTAAAAATACAGGTAACCTTTAAATGGTGATAAATATTGCAAGAAATAAAAGATTTTGACAAAAATGAAAAATTAAAAATTTAGTTCGAATTTCCTCTGCATTACCATACACTGACTTTTGTTCCTGTATATTTTCTTCAAATAATAAAATATGAAATTTTAAATTGATATTGAGTTTAAACTTTGTAATTTTATCCATTTAGAACAATTTTTGATTTTAACATATTATACTTTATAAAATTTCCTTTATGTTTTCTGAAATCTGAGTAAACGTCATCCTTAATTGTATTTGCTGACAAGGTCATTGTATCGACCATATAACTAACGAAAATGAAGACTTTAAACGAGACTGCTGATATTCTTGTTTCATCAACTTGTTTGTCAATATTTTTTTCATATGTAGAGCATGTCCTAGTGCATTGAATCGGCTGAAAGATAGACTCCCCCGTATGCAGGTGATAAGGGTATATTGCTGCATAAGTTGAAAAGTTAATCACATTTATTATCATAAAGCTTTGTTGTTAGATTACCATTAACGTCTTTTTAAAGTAAAAGATCCAATAAAAGACTGACGTATCAGACTTTGTAGTGTCTTTTATTTCAAGCTCACCAGGATATATCGTGTCGACGAAAGAATGGAAATAACAATTGTTAAATAATATTTGGATTTTATTTGTACATGTAATGAAATAAAAAATGCAATTAACTTTATTTTTTTTTTCAAAATGCATATAATTTCTAACAATGCTAAATTGATGTTACCAGGGGGAATTTTATAATAATGCTTTTGGGGTAAAAAAAAAAACCTCACACATAATTCTTTTACAAATTAATACCTTATTTGCAAAAAATATCCAACGTGAAAAAAAAACCCAGAAAGCTTGATTTTTTTTAAAATTGATGCATAGATCTACAATGATTAAGAATACGCGAGGTGACATTTTAGAATATTTGTAATTGATGGATAAGCACTAAATATTCATATTTCATAATTAATTATTAAAAAAAAACACTTCAGAAAGTTTACTGCTCAGTATTCCATAATGAAAATAAAAAGTTAACCTGTTGCGATATGTTTTACGATCAATCACTTCACATCTGATTCTTTTGGCATTCCATCAAGGAACTAAAAAATGTTTCAGCGCCTTTGTTAATCAAAACTAAACAGGAATCTGCAAAAATGGTTCATAGACAAGGAAGTTAAAAGTCAAAGATTCAAGCTGATTTTATTCGTCGATTTCTTAATTTATTATTCATGATGTCAAATCTTGCTCTTATGAAACCTGCCTTTTAGAAATAAATAGACCTTCTTAAAGGCATAATTATTTTCTAGGGTTATGTAATTAGTGGTGATGATTTTAAACAAGTCATATATTGGATTGCAAAGTCCTAATGTGTATATATACAGCTCGAAACCTTTAATCTATCGTGCCTCTGTGAACTAATTAAGTTCATTAATAATATTAATGAAATACACATAATAAATTACAGCTAAACAAAGGCTTGACCATATATTAGTCAAATTTTGCAAACTTCGTCAATATATTTTTTTATCAATATTAATTTTTTTTTGGTGGGGGGGGGGGGGGGTGGGTTTGAGCCCCATGCCCACTTGTGTCAACTTTTAAGCATTTTCTTTTATCCCAGTCTCTTCATTTCACCAGAAATCTTAACTTAAATATTTCAGGTTGAGATTAGATTGGGATTATATTCTGATCGAGTGTGTTAGTGTAAAAATGTATTGCGTTTTATTTTGTTTGCTTGATTGTGTGATTCACCGCGAGAATATTCCTTCAAATAGCAACGCCACGAAAATTTTGTTCTGGAGAGCTGCATATTTAGACTCGGTACTCAAAGCCATGAGCAGTGGGGATCGTTTTCGTGCCTACATATAATGCGACCGAGACCTCGATTAATATGGTCTCTCATCCGAGGGACCAGTCTCCAAGTCCCACAGTGGGATTCGAACCCGCAACGTAAGGACCAACTCCTTATTCCTTATTCCGCAACTTTAGAGCAAACGTAAAACTGCGCAGCACTGCATTTAATTGAAAAAAAATCCTGACTTTTAAGTGATACTAAAAATTTTCAGTACGTTCCATGTTTACTGGCTGTGCTAGTATATTTGCAGAAATTAGTCGTATTTTATTTACCAGTATGCCATTTTTCAAAAGCATCGATCGCGAGATTTCCTCAAACGAAATGTATAGCTAACACACTTCTGTTATCCTGCAACAGTCCTGATTAAAACCCAAAAAAGAAACATTTTGGGTCAAATAAAAAAGACCAGATTATACTAAAGCATGTCAACAACTTAAATATTAAAAGAAATTGGAAGTACTATATCTTGTTGTAAAGTTTTAATTTACTAGGGGGAGGTAAATGCAAAATTTACAACATTAAATTTTACCTCCCCTAGTTAATTCAAAATTTACATGATAGTAAAAGCTTTTGTGAGAACGGTGTTTATTGAAAAATTAATCTTACCACTGTATAGTTTATTACATGCCAAAATGCATTTATGCTTCTATTCATTCATAAAGGAAAAAATAAGAATTATTAGGCATGCGTAAAATAAAATCGAAAAATTCAACACATATTTTTGCATGCGCCTTTGTTTAGCATATAGTCTTTTTTTCAAAAATGCATCTGTCTTGTTTAAAAATAAAAATATGTTATGAAGTTTTGGAGCTTGAATACTTCCTCTGTTTCAGCGTCAGCCCCTTCATCAGCTGAATACTAGTTTACTACTTTAAAACCAACTTTTATTCGCGTGTGAGAAATTTTCGCGATATAACTTCGCGAGAGTCTCGTCATCCCGAAAATTTCTTGCCACGAACCAGTCCTTAAAGTCTATGTGTATATTAACAACAGAACAAAAAACGCTAACTGATCGCGAAAATTAATCGTTTCCAACTAGTTTACCCCCGTTAGGTCGCGAAATAAAGTCGTCGCGAATGAAAGTTGGTTTACAGAATTTTATAAATTGTTTGTAATGAAAAATTTACTGCTGTTTATCTGCAACTTTATACAAATAATATCTTAATTTTAGTAAGATTCGGTGTTTAAAGACATTTGTATAGAAAAATAATTTCAATTTTTTAAAAAAATTTTGTTTTTACTTTCATCATGCGGGTTACGTATAGTGCTTAAATATGTTTCCATAGGTGATAGACCTGAAACTTAGTCTCTCCATATAATGATATTTTGCTTTGATATTAACTTTAGAGAAAATGGTCTCTAGCTTGAAAACGCTCTTTTCTGCTGATATTCGTTCTACCTTACACGTTTAAGAAATCAGAATGATATCTTTTTCTCTAATACCTCCATCGGTGTAGAACCTAGCTTTGACATTTATCAGTACATGTATATCCTGGATTTCTAGATTAAAAAAAATTGTAGGTATAGTCTGTTACATCGCGAAGTGTGATAAAAACGCAAAATGTAATAAACTGGAAATATTAAATTTTGATTTTTTTTAACACATGATGTGTTTTTATCATGTTGTAAATTTTTACTTTACACGGGGGAGGGGGGGGATGCAAAATTTACAACATTTTCAAATTTTTACATTTCGGGTTCTACATTATGTGGTCTCTTCTGAGCATCAAATGCTGGCCTCATACATGCATGTAAGAAAATAAAAATGAGAGATGCCATCTTCAAAACATGCGGTCTTTTTCTGCGATCTGTTTATCAGTAAAGAAAAAAAAAACGCAATGACATTCAAATTTTTAGGTCACCTGAGTAACTCAGGTGACCTATTGCTATCTGTTTTCGTCCGTCGTCGTCCGTCGTTCCGTCGTGTGTTATGCCCCAGTCACACATTCACGGATTAAATGCCGGATTAGCTACGGAAGCGATCCGGTATCATTCGTGGCGATATGTATTGACCCGTGGCTTTTCCCTCTGTTATCGTATCCAAACGTAGCAATACTTGTATAGCTGCGACAATTTTTGAACATGTTCAAAATTCCACTACGGATGAAACCACCGTAGTACTTCCTTAGTAAAACTTACTAAACCGTTTTAGAACGTAGAAGTCCGTTTTAACTCCGTATAAATCCGTAGTAATTCGTATGTATCAATTTGTCAAGGATTGTTTCGATTTGATACGGAGAGCTACTTGATTATACGGTTCTAGTACGTATTTACTACGGATAAGAAGAGTTTGCTAAGATATTTTTACGGTGCGACACGGACCAATTACGTTTTATTACGAATAACAAAGGAATCTAAAGATTTATTACGTTTTTATACGTTTTATAGCGACACTGTACGGAGTACGAAGGCACAAGGCAAAATTCTAGGATATGAGGCGTTGCCATGCTTATCATTTTAATGTCAGTCATTCAGCTGAATTTATAAACCCCATAAAAACTGTGTGTCTGACCATCAGAAGCAAAATTTTTATCAAACATGAATAATCAACAACTGATGCTTGCTTTGGAAATGCTAGAACTAGACATTGACATTTCACAAAATTCCAGGGCAATGATTCAGGCCATCCAAGACTAGAGACGTGATCGAAGGCAGCGGATATGGTGGACGAGAGATTGGCTCCTCCGAAGACCTATCCATTGCCAGTATGAAGCCTTAATGTCCGAGATGTATGCAGAAGATCTATCTGCATTTAGGAATTTTGTACGAGTGGACCCTCTTATGTTTCAAGAAGTGTTACACATGGTTTCTCCAAAGATTAACAAGCGCAACACTTGGTACAGGAAATCTATTGACCCTGGTTTGAGACTAGCAATTACTCTGAGCTAGGTACCTAGCTACGGGGGACAGCTACCACACACTGATGTATGGTTTCATAGTTGCCCACAATACAATCTGTGGTATTGTAAGAGAGGTATGCGATGCCATAGTGTCTGTTTATTCAGAAGACGTTCTCTTGACACCCACGGAACCTGAACAGTGGAAAGCTATACATGTAGCAAAACAGTTTGAGGCTAAGTGGAAGTTCCCCCACACGCTAGGTGCTCTCGACGGAAAACATGTACCCATTAGGTGTCCAAAAAATGGAGGATCGTTGTATTATAACTATAAAGGTTACCACTCTATTGTATTGATGGCTCTAGTTGACGCTGACTACAAGTTCCGATGGGTTAATATTGGCGCTCAAGGTGGATTTTCGGACGCCCAGATTTGGAACCGGAGTGATCTTAAACAAGCGATTGAAAGAGGATTAATGGGACTGCCAACAGCGACCCCTTTTCCCGGTGATGATAAACCCATTGACTACTATATTATCGCAGACGATGCTTTTGGTATGAAGACCTGGCTAATGAAACCTTTCTCTAGACGAGGTCTTGTTTATGACGAGAGGATTTTCAACTATCGGTTATCTAGAAGTAGAAGAGTTGTTGAAAATGCGTTTGGTATTCTTGCAAATCGATTCAGATGCTTACTATCAGTCATGAATCAGGAGCCCGAAACTGTGCACGTCATAGCTTCAGCCTGCGTGTGCTTTCATAACATCATGAGAATGAGATACCCTGGGGACCAGAACCTTCTACTTGACAAGGAAGACGAAAGGCACCAGGTAATTCCTGGGGCATGGAGAGATGGTGTTAACTAGGATGATTTACAGATTACCAGGGGTGGAAATATGGACACATTTGACGCTAAACAGAAGAGGCTTTATATAAAACATTACCTTAATTCCCCAGTCGGGTTTGTTCCATGGCAGGACAAGATGATAAAATGACTGTTCTAAAGTATTGTTAAAAAGTCAGAAATAATCAATGGATTATTACAATTTTCTTATCATTAAAACATAATTTGGTCATTGCTTGCTTATTAATTTGAGTGTAGAAATAGTAAATATTTGTCAATAGCACGCTTTGCATTCTCAAAGTTGAAGTTATTAAAACAAATTAAAAATGGACTTTGAGATTTGAATGCCCCTTTTACTCTTTCGTTCTTACAACAATGTACCGGATAAAAAATATTTTAGACACATCAATGACGCTCTAGCTAAAAATTGATAGGTGAAAGTAAATAAGAACATGAAGTGTATAGGAAACTACAAAACCAAGACCAATCTACATGTATTTACTCATATGCCAAATCTCAAATCTTTTACAAATTAACATGTACGGACAATTTTACTAGAACGACCCAGGTTTCATATTTTTGATTATTACATCATGTATTTGTGTATACAGCCTCATACAATTTGGAGTAATTTTCTGAAAAATTTAGCGGAAACAGGCAAATAACTAAACTAAAAGACATAACAAACAATAAAAAAAGAAAACCCCCCCCAAAAAAAGAGAAAAACGTTTAGCCGCATCTAATAAAAAAAATCCCTTCGCTTAATCAATCATAAAGGCACATCTACTTTATATGAGAAAGGTTGTGTGAACATTTCATGAAAATTCATCGAGTGGTTTAGGGGGAGTTGCGGGTGAAAGATACGGACAAGACAGATCCAGGTGTTAAACAGGGGTATAAAGGGGCTGAAGCCGGGTCTTTTTACTGGCTACTCCAGTATCAGAAGATGTGTTGTTTTCCGGAGCAACGCTTGCTTGCGTTATACAAGTTTCATCCACTGCCTGGTTTTTACTTTTTGCAAATACTCATTTACAAGATCTTTTTTTGGGTGGCATCTTTATTCGATAGAGTTTGGAAAAGAACTAAACTGGTGCACGGATTCCACGGACTGTGTAATAATCGTGATTGTCCGAGAAGCCCCGTAGTGAAGCGTGGCGTCGCGTAAAAGACCGATTTTATCCGTATTAATCCTGACCTACACCGTAGCAAACTGTATTCATCCGTAGCGCAGTCGACTTGACACTTGTCACTCCGTATTAAAGCTGAACACGACTCGTAAATAGGCATACGCCATTTTCGATAGCATTATCTACGATACATCAATACTAGGGTATACTCGTCGCATTCGTTACACCTGACTGCTTTATTGTCACGGGTATCGGCGTGGAATGGCGACCCGTGTTCGTGCTGGTTATCTTGCATTGCCTTTGTTTATATTTTATTGCAGTTACGTTTATCTATTTTGTTTGTATACTACATTGACTTATACTACTATAATTGTAAACTTATTTGGCATCTTATTTTCCTGCATTAGACGAAGTATTACGTTATTATTGTCATACCGAGTTCTGTATAGCATACGCCCGTCTTCGCCGGTGTCTACTGATTACACTGAACAGTGACTAAGTTCTGCCCTATTTATAGGGGTCTGCAGAGTAGCGAGACTCGGGAACTAAAATGGCCGACAGATTCCTTTTACGAATCGTGTTCAGCTTTAAGGTCAGACGATACGTTCCTCAAATATATGTTTTGTATCTATTGGTGTTATATAAAAATTATTCATATTTGTCATTCTCTTCTGATTTCTACATTGTTTTTAAAATGTTTTTAAATATAAGTACACCAAAAATTGTGTTATAGGCCATTTAGGATATTACTCATAAGGGTTATATAAGAAATATGACCCTATGGTATCTTGGCCAAATGCCTGGTAAGGTACCCTAATTTTTTGTGAGGAAACTTGTTTAAGTACCTATACTTGGCAAGCGGTATATCTAGTCTTCCCGACTCCCGACGCCCGACTCCCGACGGTCCCGGATTTGGGATTTTTAGCGATTTCTTTTTTACCTGTGCTCAGATTTTATTCAAACTTTTCAGGCACATTTTCTGGGTTTATATGAATTCATTAGTGCATAAAAACTTTAGGTAACCTGTCTTTTTATTACTGAACCAGATGTTTCACCTGCCAAAAAGCGGTAAATCTAGTACTCTGTTATAAATGTTAAAACCAAAAACGGACACCGATGTTTTCGTAGAATCGCGATTAAAAACAACAAAATGAATAATAATTTTTTCAACAAATAAGCGGAAAACCTCATTTACATACCAGATAATTTGTACGCCTAAAAACACCTATATAATTTCTTTTTTTCCGTGTATAAATCGTTCATTGCCACATTATGTTCACAGGTACGACATTGACATATACATGCGTCGGGGCCCCCCCCCTTTATTAATTAATTTATTTTTATTTGACTTTACTTTTTGTTAACTGATTTTAAGTTAACTCTAAATTCTACTTATCGTATGAAAACCTACACAATGACAAAAACGTTATCAGATTACCAGTAATATTTTAAGGACCATGGTTTGTCCCCGGTTACATGTTATGTTAACAAGTCATGGTTAATACTAATAGCTTTGATTTAGAAGCAGTTAACAATACATAATTACTTTTTTTTTAATTTGACAGAATATCTCTCCACTTTCATTGTATCAGCCAGGTGATTAGAAAATTAATTATTTTACCCAAGCTAACACTGCTTTAATAAAGCTTTTATAATAAGTGATTATCTTCTTCATTAACAGGTTTAAAGGGAATTAACAGGTTTAAGAGTCATTTTGATGTTGGAATCTATAAAATTAAATTGTTCATACTTTTCTAACACCTTCAATTTCACTGAAACACTTACTCTATCTTTTTAAAAGAAGAAATATCTTCCCAAATAATATCAATAGTATGATCTACGAAACCTCACGTCTCCGCTCATCGCTATGTATCGATAATTAATAAGCATAAGTCTTAATTAAAAAAAATAAAATATGTGAGTTTCAGTGCGCACAAAAATAAAATATGTGAGTTTCAGTGCGTACAAATTATCTGGTATGTAAATGAGGTTTTCCAGTTACTTGTTAAAAAAATATATTCTTCATTTTGTTGTTTTAATCGCGATTCTACGAAAACATCAGTGTCCGTTTTTGGTTTTAACATTTATAACAGAGTACTAGATTTACCGCTTTTTGGCAGGTGATACTGCTGATTCAGTAATAAAAAGACAAATTTCCTAAAGTTTTTATGCACTAATGAATTCATATAAACCCAGAAAATGTGCCTGAAAAGTTTGAATAAAATCTGTGCACAGGTAAAAAAGAAATCGCTTAAAATCCCAAAGCCGGGACCGTCGGGAGTCGGGCGTCGGGAGTCGGGAAGACTAGATATACCGCTTGCCCCTATACTTCAATGACTAATTCTTAGGAAAAATTATATATTTTTGAGGAACGTGTCGTCTGACCTTAAGTCGTATTGTTTCCGTATTAAAACCGTACTTTACCGAAGCAAACCGTTTCAAACAGGCACTAAATTTATCTTTTTTCTACCCTATTCATGTAAGTACGTAACAATCCGTATTCATTCCGTAGTGCATCCGTACTAACTCCGTATCAATTAACGATAATAAGATTTTCCGGTGTCAACCGTGGACAATATTCCGTAGTAGAACCGTGGAGTTGATCCGTGAATGTGTGACTGGGGCATTAACATTTGAACATTTTAAGCTTCTTCTCTGAAATCACTGAACCAATTTCAACCAAATTTGGTATACAGCATCTATTGGTAAGGGGAACACAAATTGTGAATTTCATGGTCCCTGCCCCCCTGGGGCCTGGGGGGTGGGGCCAAAACCACCAAAATTATTGCAATCTTTAAAAATGTTCTCCTTTACTCCTGGACATCAAGCAGGCAAACTGTTGGCATGAATGTATTGAGCATTGAGTCCTCTACCAAAATTGTGAAATTCATGGCCCCAGGGTCAGGGGTTCTAGTGCTAGGGCGGGGCTATATAGATTATTTAGTGAAAATGCATTATTTCTTTAAAAATCTTCTTCTCTGTTCCTGGGTATTAAATAAACTAAGTTAGTACATAGTTATGATGAGCAAGAGTAGCTCTACTAAAATTGTGAATTTTATGGTCCCAGGGTCAGGGGTTCTGGTGTTTGGGCGGGGCTCTATTGATTATATAGTGAAAATGCATTTATTCTTTGAAAATCTTCTTCTCCGCTTCTGGGTATTAAATCAACTAACTAAGTACATAGTTATGATGAGCAAGACTACCTCTTCCAAAATTTTGAATTTTATGGTCCCAGGATCAGGGGTTCCAGTGCTAGGGAGAGGCTATATAGATTATATAGTGAAAATACATTAATTTGAAAATCTTTTCCTTTGCTCCTGGGTTTTATGCCAATGATCGTATATATATATTTATGATGAAGAAAGGTGCATCTAGCAAAATGATTATTTTTTATGCCCCCCCCCCCCATCCCTGGGGCGGGGGGGGGGGGGTTACATAGTCTGAAAATAAATTAATGCTTTGAAATCTGCTCTTTGGTATTGTAACGTGCAACGCGACCGAGCTTGATGTGTGATATGTCTTGTATCACCGAGGCGTTACAATCAGGTTCGTTAACCTGTTAACTCAGATTTTTGTTGACCAAATTTAAGATATATACAAATACAATACAATAGTACAATGGGTTTCTTCTTGATTGGACAACCACTAACTGTGGTCAACGGGTGTCTCCCGCAAATGAATCACTACGGTCCTGCCACTTCACAAGTACTGCTGCATCTTGGCACTTCCCCCACTTCTATTCGTGGGATGCCACCTCTCTCTACAACCAAGTGTCTGCCTTATTCAGGTCTTACGTGCTTTGGTGTACTGTGAAACACTTAGCCGTATATCCCCTGCATCCGTCTGCCTTATTCAAGTCTTGTGACACGATAGCGGTGTTTTTCTTTGAAGTTTACTGTTCTGTATTAGCAATACAGAACGGGACTGTGGTGGGCGGAGCTACTTTCCCTTCTGTATTAGCTTTGTATACAGTATTGTATTTGCCAACTATTCTGTATCTAAAATACAGCACGGTCTAAAAATAAATCTGATTCAATTTAGCAAAAGCACGTACAAATAGTAAATGCCGATGTTTTCCTATTATAAATTTTGGGAAAATAGCCGGTATTTTCCTGAGAATATATAATGTCAAAATTTCTCAACCATTTTTTAAAAAACATTCCACACAGAATCTACACGTAATTTCGATCAAAACTAAACGGAAAATTCTCAATAACGGAAAACATCCTCTGTACGTAATTTAGATCCAAACAAAACGGAAAATTCACGGAAAACATCCACTCTCCCCGTGCAAAATCATTCAGGTCCATTTTTCCCCGTTTTTAATTTTTTTAAATCCTTCTCGCTGACGACAGCCACACGTCTCTTTCACTTCGTTTTCAATGTCGCAATTCAATTTGAAAATAAAAATCCGTGACATCAAAGTCGAAAAATTTTCTGTAAATCCTGTTTTCGTAAATCCAGTTAAACCGGAATTTTGATATCCCTGAAATATATTATGATAAATCTCCATCTACAATAGATCACAACAATGACAATGACGGTTAAATCCTCCAATTTATCCATTAAGACTGACTATCACTCGATTACGTCTACCCCGTTAAACTGTCAAAACAAATCTGACCGAATTTTACGTTTTCCGTGGAAATATATATACTGCGGATGCGTACTCCCCGTCGGGGCCTCATCTACAGAACTCCAGCGGAAGTTTGGATGCTGCAAAGTAATAAAGTGGGCGGAGCTATTTTTGATTGATCGTGTCACAAATCATTTAGAGAACTCGACAGGTTCTGTATCGTAGATACAAATTTGGGGGTGGAGACTCGTGCTAAAGCACTCGTCCACCCCCAAATTTGTATCTACGATACAGAACCAGTCGAGTTCTCTAAATAATACTTACGACCGTATGCAAGAGAAGAAACAAACTAATGTTTATCCACTCCGTCACCAGAGAGGTCCCCTGAGTTCCTGTAACACAGCATGTATTACCTCAGTGTGTCCCCAATACAAAGGCAGTTACAAACTACTTAAATGATTGTAAAATTAATATTTTTTAGTGTTTAATTCTTTATGTAAAAACGTAGGTCTAACGTTTATACGAAACTAACCAAAAACCATTTCCGTTTCACTACCCTCCCCTCAAGATTATATGCGTCCCGAATATGATTAACTATTCACAAATTATTTACAAATGTACAAAATTTGCAATGCCTGAGAATTTGTGACATCTCCCTAGGCATCGATGAATGCATCTTTGCTGAGAGTTTCTAGCACCTCACCAGGTGCTGATGCCTAGGCCAAATTGGTTAGTCGTCTAATGGCCTGGCCTAACTCTGGTATTGACTCAGATGCTCTTTGCCTTCGCTCTTTTAGCTGAACACGGTACAGATCTGTTTGGTTAGGAGGCAGAACCTCCTCAAGGGATCTGACCAGTGTCTTATTGTGCTGACCAGTATCGCTTGGCAAGTCACCTAACACTGACTGTGCTTGGCCACGTAGGGATACACTTAAATAAAGACCTTTCTTTTCTTCTGCCCAGCCATTTACAACAGCACAGGCCTCAAAATGTGATTTGTAGTCAAGCCAGGAACTTGTTCCGTCATACGTGGCTGGCTTAATTATATGGCCTGTCTTCGCATTGTCTGTCCCTATTGACAGCCTATGTGGTTTTGGTGTGTCGAACAGATGGCCCGTCACTACGTCGTCAACCCCAGCAATTGGTGTGTAGCTTGGTTTGCCTTCGTCTGAAAATCTAACTTTAGGCCGTGCGCCGTACTCGTCGAATGACACATCTCCTGACATACCGGTATTATCAGTACTGTGTGTTGCATATCCAGACTCTCGGCTTGCCGCATTTGTCTGACCACCGTCACTGGTTGGCGTTCTCATCCTTTGTATGAGCTTCTCCATTCGCTCTATAGTTTCTGACACTTTCTTAGACGAATCCATGGTCAACAAAATCCCGACGCTTGCCACCAAATAATGTAACGTGCAACGCGGCCGAGCTTGTTGTTGGTGGCGATATGTCTTGTATCACCGAGGCGTTACACTAGGTTCGTTAACCTGTTAACTCAGGTTTTTGTTGACCAAATACGATTATAATCAAATATATACAAATACAATGGGTTTCTTCTTGATTGGACAACCACTAACTGTGGTCAACGGGTGTCTCCCGCAAATGAATCACTACGGTCCTGCCACTTCACAAGTACTGCTGCTTCTTGGCACTTCCCCCACTTCTATTCGTGGTATGCCACCTCTCTCTACAACCAAGTGCCTGCCTTATCCAGGTCTTACGTGCTTTGGTGTACTGTGAAACACTTAGCCGTATATCCCCTGCATCCGTCTGTCTTATTCAGGTCTTACGACCATATTCAAACAAATGTTTATCCACTCAGTCACCAAAGACGTCCCCTGAGTTCCTGTAACATAGCATGTATTATCTCAGTGTGTCCCCTATACAAAGGCAGTTTCAAACTACTTAAATGATTGTAAAATTAATATTTTTTAGTGTTTAAGACTTTATGTAAAAACGTAGGTCTAACGTTTATACGAAACTAACCAAAAACCATTTCCGTTTCAGTATATGATAAAATTTGCAAAATTTTGAAATATATGGCCCCAGGGTCCGTGGTTCCTTTGGGGTGAGGTGCAAAACTGGTTATAAAGTGGAAGTGCATTTTCTCTTTGTTACTCTGATCAACCTCTGGGTATTAATTAATAGAGTAAGCATGCTAAATTTATAATTATGATAAGCAATGGTGCCTCTTTCAAAATTATGAATTGTAAATGTCATGGCCTCTTGTTTTAAACACGAACCAAAGTTATTTGTTTGAAAGTTGTTACACGATACTCAGGTGACCTATAAGGCCCGTGGGCCTCTTGTTTTAATTAATATTTATCTTTCATCACATAATATATATTTGTATACATGTATCTGGGTGAGACATTAAATAATACAAATATAGGGTTTACCTTGGTGTATTCCTTAAGAGGATTTTGATCTATCCTACATGTACTTTTTCTTCGTTTAGTATTAACATTTCATAACTCTGCAAATTCCAGAGGGGGGGCTCAGGACCCCCATCCCCACCCTTACCCCTCTAGATCCGCGCATGCATTTTGAAAACTCTACACAAAGTTGTCTTCCGCACCAACGTAGCAGGAAGGACAACTCTAGACAGCACTATTTTTGCCAATATTGAATTGTCTATTCTTTCTCTTCGCCGTGAAATTAATGGTATTTTAGTTATTGATTTTTTTTCTACTGATACCCTTTTCATACCCGAAAATACACACATACACTCCTTTGTTACAGTTTGTAGATATTACTACAACAGCAAACACAAATAATTGTTTACTCATCGGGCTCGATATTTCCAATATTCCAAATTTAGATTTTACCCGGGAAGGCAGTCTCTATCATCATGATATGAAATTTGAGAAAAAACAGGATGAAAATGGGAAGCAGAAGAAATCTAAGCGCTGCAGCACTAGTTGGCCGTGTTCAAAAACCCAAACTAGTCATAAATTCCGAAAGAGAAGAGGGTTCAATCGTGAGAATCAAGCTCGATAACTTTTTGTAAGTGTTATGGTAGCGCCATTCCTAGGAAGCTTTGCAGACGTTCTATTTTGGTTCGGATTTTGTGTATATAGTGTTTATGAGAACAGAAAAGTTATACAAAATTGTGTCAATATTTTTCCAGCAATGTGCACATTGAACTTTTTGTCAATTCGTTAGTGCAATGTAGAACAGTAAAATGTTTTTGTGAAATCGAAAATGGTGCATACACAGAGATTTATCAGTGTTGTGGGACTCATGTGGGACTTATTTTCTCTGTGGGACTTGTTCTAGTATCATCACTATGTAGAACTATTATAATTTTTTAAAAGGGTGTACATGTCAGTCGGATTAAATTGATCAGGTCCATGTTCAAATACTATTTAATATAATATGTTGATTCTACCTACGTAGCTATTAATAGCTACGTAGGTGACATTCGGTGCGTATGACTCTACCCAAAGTAGCTATTTTTACCTACTCTGTGCTTTACTTGCATTTTGTGGCCAAAAACGCATAAATTCATTAAATCAAGGCAAGTTTATTTTTCTTTTAACATGGTGAGCTCCAGATTTCATGATACAATCACACTAATGATGGATATGACAAAAATTTGGCCAAAAAATGATTACTTCGTATATTATCATTTTTGCATAGAAACTAATGTAAAATTGCCAATTCTCTTTAGATATAGTAATCATTTTTTGACCAAAATTTTGTTATATTCATCATCACACTGTATAAAAAAATATGGTATTCACCATGTTGCGCAGTTCCTGCGTTTGGCCACAAAATGCAAGTAAAGAAGAAAGTAGGTAAAAATATCTACTTTGGGTAGGTTTAAATACCTACTTAGCTATTAATAGCTACATAGGTAAAAATAGTCTTTAGACTGGACCTGTTGATTGCACAATGTTCATGTTTAATATATTATTGTATTTAATGATTTATTAATTTAGTAAATGACTGATTTTGGACGTTTAATGGCTGCAAACATGGTATGAGATTGATAAAAGGTTTTTTTTTCAAGTTGATCAAGTGTTGAAGAAACTGCATCTTGGATTGAAATCTTGTCATATCTTTAATTGGTGGTTTCAGTCAGTCTTTTAATGTTTTATTTTTAGCAGATTTTTGAACATGTTAACCAGGGATCAACATTTATGTATAACTGTTAACTTTAGAGGGAACAAGAACAGTAGACTATATTGTCTGAAAGTTGACTAGAGCTACCTCCACTAGAATTGATCTGTGGATCATTGAATGAGCTAATTGATTTGTACACAAATCACAAAAAACGAAAACAGTCAAATAATGAAATTATTTAAATTGCAAATAATTAAAACTGTAGTGAAACAAGTAGGCTAGAGTTTCTCTTGGACTCCAAAAAATTATATTTAAAAGGGGCCAAAATTATTGTTGGTTTTTCAAAGTTGGCTTAATTAAAGTTCTAAAACACTGGAATGTCAGTGGAATTGTCTTTGAGTTAACCATATAAAATTCATGCTTTAAAATATTTAGACTCAATTTTTAACATGTTTAAAAACTGAATAAAATTTCTTTTATAATATCTTTCTATATATAATTCATGCAGTTATCATTGTTTTGCAGGACTTATGATTCTGTAGAATTTCTGACAGGCCCTTCTTTAAATGTAATTATTGGACCGAATGGTACAGGAAAGAGCTCCATTGTCTGTGCCATATGCCTGGGATTGGGGGGTAAGACTGGACTACTGGGACGAGCTCAGCAGTATGGAGACTACATCAAGTATGGATGTCAGAAAGCAAAGATTGAATTAGAACTGTAAGTTACATTCGTAGATCAGTAAGTGAACATATCAATAATATTATGATCACAGCAGGGATGTATCGTGTAGATAATGCTCCTCCACCTAATGATATAAAATTGTGTACATTTAAAAAATAAAACCCCAAGTGTAAAAACAAAAATCAAAGTACATGTAGAATCATCAAGGTACAAAAACATTCATGAAAAAAAAAATGTTCGTTTGTTTGTAAAATTGTTCCCTATCCCAAAGATATTTGCTTTTACTTAGTGATCAAGCAATCTCTCTACCAAAATAAAAAAAATAATCTCTTCAAATCCCTGGTAAAAATTGCATTGATTGCAAGAGTAAATGTGCAATAAACACATGATAAGAATGCAAGTTGTGCCTAAAAAGTTTGTTATTTGTTTAATTATCATGTTTATGTTACAGGTATAACAGCAATGGAGAAAATTGGATCATCTTGAGAGAAATCCAGAAAAACAACACCTCTTCCTGGTCTGTCAATGGTCGCACGGCAACTATGAAATCGGTACATTCTGATTCATTATATTCAATATCCAGAATTTTATTTATCTTTTTTGCTTAAAGTAACTTCCTCATAGGCATGAGTGGGTCCTCAATACTAAATTAGTTTTTGTATTGAAATTTGGAAAACTTCTTTTAAGAGCAGCAGGACCAAATTTAGACAAATTAGTATGGAAACTTCCCTGTTTGTTGAAGTCTTGTGTATATGTATCCAAGTCATACTCTAGAGGGCTTAGAAGATGGTATCGAAAAGGTCAATGTTTTACATGGAAGTCTATAGAAAAAAGGTTTATCATAGCAGCAAAAGCAGTATTTCATTCTGTGGAAGTCCCTCCCCCCCAATGAAATTTATGTGAGTTCGTGATTGAATCATGTTAGGGATTGTGGAAGTCCCCAACATGATATACTGAAACGCAAAAGAAACGCAACAAGCAGTAATCTACTAATGTTTAAATTTTTTATCTAATGATTTTCAAAAAAGAATACAGTAAGGCTAAATTCACTTCTCAGAATATCAGAGATTTGTTAAAAGTGTTAAATGTTTATCTTTTAACTTTACCAAGTAACATATGACTGTTAAAACACCCCCCTCCCAGCAATTCAATTACAACATGCAAGACTGCCGTAAACAGCAATTGCAGCTTAATTTCTACGATACAATAGGTTCATCAATAGCGAGATCTAAGGGAAGGAATTATTCTTTGCCATTTTTAAATGCCTGTTTTTCAGATGATTAGGTCGAATTTTCTCTAACTTAGCGCATTGCAGTAACCCTTGGACTTCCGGTCCAAGGACTTTCATTTATGCATACGATATGTAAGATCGCGTTGAGGAGTAATGTAGTGTATTTTTGCATCATCAACTCTCCATCACCTTTACCTTTACTTTGAGATTTTCCAGCTAGAGCAATGGAAATGCATACTTAAGCCATTTTCAAGAAGCCTTAGCATCGTTACGGGAAACGAGAAGAGATTTTATTTTTTGAAATATTGCTGCATTACTTAAGATGAACAGTACAAACCCTTAAAACTCCATAATATTGCCAAATGTTTTGTTAAACATGCAATTTTTGATTTCTGTTAAGCAGACTCAAACTTGACTTCCGGTTATGGTATGAAAATCGTTCAACCGTTAAATTACCAATATTTACCAAATTGAAGATATCCATAATTTTGAGATACAAAATTCTTTACTTTACATAATCATTTCCCACTAATGTAGGGTGTTGCCTTTATTTTGTGTTTCAGTATATATAGGAAACCATCTGTTAAATCTTTCTCTCAAGATAAGGCGGGCCAATTTGACTAGAGTGAGTAAGTCTGTCCATGGGCCAGGCCAGGCTCTGGTTTGTTTTATGTATGAATATTTGTTTTATAAATTTTATTTCTTTGTTTATAAATGTAAGTGTGATGTGTTTTAAAGGTGGATGAACTAGTGGCCAGACTGAATATTCAGGTGGGAAATCTCTGCCAGTTCCTGCCTCAAGAAAAGGTGGCAGACTTTGCCAAAATGACACCAGAAGATCTCCTAGAAAACACAGAAAAAGCTGTAAGTTAAATTGATTGCTTCATCACTAAATGACTAAAAAGTCAGACATGATGAAGAGTCATAGACACAGTTTTGATGTTTATAGCCATGAAAAGTTTGGGCAGCACCCATTATTTTTACATGTTGTGAGAGTGTCTTGGACTGATTAAGTGTGAAATCACTGCCGTAAAATCCCATGTATAGAGCACAATGTTTTAAAAGACGCACCCCCAACTTTGGGGGTAAAAATCCTGAAAAAAACGCTGGTCCTATGTAAAAAGCACATCCCAAAAATGCAGAATTTGGATGTGACATTACTTTTTCTAGTACAGTAACTTAAAATAAAATAATGAAAAATTTACGAATCTCAAACGAAAGTAGAACGTCAGTTTTTTCACTTTACGTATTCAAGTGTGCATGTGTGAACATTTTAATTTAATCTTTGTAATAGTTATCTAAGAAGAGGTAATAATACTTCATTATTTTCTTTTTAATTAATTCCAAGCCAAGCGTGTTATCAATTTATGCTTACCAGTAGAATGCATATATACCAAGCGTGTGTCAGTATGTACGTAAACAAAACTGGGTCATACCCAAGCGATATTAATGTGGAAAATTTGGCTTTTAGTAATTTAACAGTTCTTGGTATCCATTGATATTTTTCTTGAATGTAATTGACTGTTTTTACAAATACATTTATATGTGCTTACACTGGCTAGTGTTTTAATAACGCAGGTGTTGAAGTGATAATTGTTATATAAACAATGGTCCTGGCCTACGTGACAACATAGACTGAAGTTAAATATTGCAATGACGCGGCAATAGGCAATAGAATCCCTAACAATTTGTAACTGGAATTACATATCTAAAATTAAAAAAAATAAAATAAGTTATAGAATTGAGAATAATTCAGAAAACATGAAAAAGATTATAGCTGTTGACTCATTTATAGGTATTAATTAAATACATCTATGTCTTAAGCGACATGCATTTCGTTGATGATATAAGCGACGGTAGTTCAAAATGGCGGAATATGCAATGGAAATAAAATATAAACAAAGATCGTTTTTCATCAGAATTTTATTTTTGAAACGGTATTCTTTCTTTCAACACTAAGGGTATATGTTTATTTCTACAACAGGTAGGGCTTACGTATATAACTCTCTGAAATTAGATTAACTTTGACGTAATTGGTTACAAAGGATAATCAGTTTAAATGGATCAGGAAAATGGTTCTCGGCACTGCGAATGTGACCTGAAAAAAGGGGGTTGAATTTTGTTCCTATGTATTGAGCATTTTTTTTGTTGAGCGCATCCCTACTTTTGAACAATTTTCTGAACGAAAAAAGTGCGTCCAATACAAGGGATTTTACGGTGATTTTCTTGTTGGAATAATTTTTGTTGTTTTCATGCAAAAAGAGACAAGGTTATCTTCTCCACGTAATGTTTAAATTTCAAATATGTGAACACTTAACAATTCTTCAAATCTAAGATGGATTCCACTGAATGGTTCCATTCGGGTTGATCAAAATACATGTATTTTATTGCTTAGTAATTTTCTATAGGTTGGGATACCAGAGATGTATGAAAATCATCAGCGCCTAAAACAGTCGAGGATAGAAGCTCGCTCACACACACAAAACTTCAACAGTCTGAAAGAAAGATTGGCAGACCTGCAGCAAAGGAATGCACGCTTAGAGCAGGATGTCAAAAACTTTGAAGAACGCGAAAAACATCTGGAAAAAATAAGAATTATGAAAATGAAGAGGCCTTGGCTTGTAAGATACACATACCCTTTTGTTGTACAAATACAAAATATGAAATGGTATTTTTCGGTTAATGCAAGTAGATGAATATTTGTTGTGGCCGGAAAATATTTTCATAACCATTAAAGGAAAATTGATCAATGAATTTACTTCCCAATGCAAGAAAGAAATATGCACTAACAATGAACTTCTTTGAGAAGCCAATATAGGAAATGAATTTGCCTAAAATGGGATGTCAATGTATTTCAGGAATATGAGATGCACAGACAAGAGCATGATAGGCTGAAGATGCACCGAGATAAAAAAGTCGAGGAGTTAAAGGCGGCCAAATCCAAGCTCCACCCGCTGGACAGGAAGATAGACGCCCTGAGGAAAAAGAAGGAAGAAATGGATGCCCAGATGAAATCCAAGGTGCATAAAATGATCTTATGAATGTTACTATGTATGAGAGGTTGTATCAAAAGTCTTAAAAAAAAAAAAAATAGGGTTGTGACTATTCAGGGTTCAATTGATTTAGTTCGGTTTCTGTTCAGAATGATGCGGTTCATTTGTATATTTCATAGAAATTAACATATATATTTCCTAATGTCTGATATATTTTATTTTGCATACAGGTAAACTTCGGTATCTAGACATCAGATATGTCGACAACCTGGGATATGTCGACGTCCGTCCGCGGTCCAGGTGTCATATAATATATTGAACCCTGCGATATTTTGAACCCGGGTTCAAAATATCGCTGCAAAATATTGAACCCCCCTATAGAATATTGAACCTGGGGTTCAAATTATTATGGCCATAAAACACTGAGTCCCCCTGCCCTTTTAATTTAAGAGGTAGGGGGGTTCAAAATATTATGGCCATAAAATATTGATTCCCTGCCCTTTTAATTTTACAGGTAGGGGGGTTCAAAATATTATGGCCATAAAATATTGAGTCCTTCTGCCCATTTAATTTTACAGGGAGGGGGTTCAAAATATGGCTATAAAATATCGAGTCCCCAACTCCTTTAAATTTTAGAGGGAGGGGGGTTTAAAATATTTGGCCATAAAATATTGAACCCCCCTGTCCTTTTAATTTATAAGGGAGGGGATTCAAAATATTATGGCCATAAAATATTGAGTCCCCTGTCCTTTAAATTTAAGAGGGAGGGGGTTCAAAATATTATGGCCATAAAATATTGAACCCCCCTGTCCTTTAATTTAAGAGGGAGGGGGGTTCAAAATATTATGGCCATAAAATATCAAGTCCCCTTTCTATTTGATTTTACAGGGAGGGGAGTTCATAATATTATGGACATAAAATATTGAGTCCCCCTGCCCTTTTTAATTTTAGAGGGAGGGGGGTTCAAAATATTATGGCCATAATATTTTGAAACCCCCTCCCCGTAAATTATATAAGCAGGGGGGCTCAATATTTTATGGCCATAATATTTTTGAACCCCCCTCCCTGTAAAATTGAATAAGCAGGGGGACTCAATATTTTATGGCCATATATTTTGAACCCCTCTCCCTGTAAAATTAAATGGACAGGGGGCTCAATATTTTATGGCCATAATATTTTGAACCCCCCTCCCTGTAAAATTAGATGGGCGGGGGACTCAATATTTTATGGCCATAATATTTTGAACCCCCCCCCCCCCCCCCCCCGTAATATGAAATGGGCAGGGGTCTCAATATTTTATGGCCATAATATTTTGAACCCCCTCCCTCATAAATTAAATGGACAGGGGGACTCGATATTTTATGGCCATAATATTTTGAACCCCCCTCCCTGTAAAATTAAATGGGCAGGGGGACTCAATATTTTATGGCCATAATATTTTGAACCCCCCTCCCTTTAAAATTAAATGGGCAGGGGGACTCAATATTTTATGGCCATAATATTTTGAACCCCTCTCCTTGTAAATAATAATCGACAGGGGATTCGATATTTTATGGCCATAATATTTTGAACCCCCTCCCTAATAAATTAAATGGACAGGGGGACTCGATATTTTATGGCCATAATATTTTGAACCCCCCTCCCTGTAAAATTAAATGGGCAGGGGGACTCAATATTTTATGGCCATAATATTTTGAACCCCTCTCCCTGTAAAATTAAATGGTCAGGGGGACTCGGTATATTATGGCCATAATATTTTGAACCCCTACCTCTTAGATGAAAAAGGTAGGGGTTCAATATTTTATAAGGGGGTTCAATATATCGCAGCGAAAAAGTGAACCTGGGTTCAAAATATTATGCGATATTTTGAACCCGGGTTCAATATATCGCGGTATCAAAATATTACAGCATTATTTGCTATATAAATGATTTGCAAAAACTCTGATATGTCGACCTCGGTAATGTTGACTACCCTGCTTATCTCAACGTTTTTCACAGTCCCAAGAGCGAAATTTACCTGGTATATGTCGACATCGGGGCAATTTTTTGCTCTACTTAACCTAATTGTTTGTCAGCTGGTCGCTTGTCACGCAGGGACGACTCCGTGTATCTCGACGTGGTCAGAAATTCACACCTTTCACACCCATGTTTTGACTACATACTGCTCTGTAGAAATGTGTTTGTAGAGGAATTCCAAGCCCCCTCGGCGTCTCTAATACGTTAATTGTTTAATGTTTAGCTTGGGTAATATCATTGATAAATCTTTTCGATTCTGCGTAAATGTAAAACCGTTCATTTACATGTATGTCGAAATCTATAGCTAACAAAACTTAAAGATTTTATTTAAAAAATGTAACTGAATAACAATGAACAATATGCACTTTGAATTCAATTTAACTCGTCGATGTCTAGATAATGAAGTTTACCTGTAGTTGGTTAATGATTTTCCAAATCTGTTAAACGTGCATGCAAAATGCAATATTTCTGATTTTTTTTTTCAGACAGATGTGTTGAGAAAGTATGCAAATGATGCCCATGGCAATAGCAAGGAAATCGAAAAGTACACTGATCAGGTAACCAATATATCAATTTATAGTCCCGATTTTTTTTCATATACATGTTTACATAACTATTAGCAGATTTAAGCTTGATTTCATGAACTTTCAGTCTCGTAAAATCCTTGATCTTGTCGTCAGAATGCAATCCTGTATCCCATTTTTAGCTCACCTGAGCCAAAGGCTCAAGTGAGCTTTTCTCATCAAAATTTGTCCGTTGTCTGTCGTTGTCGTCGTAGTCGTTGTCGTTGTTGTTGTTGTAAACTTTTCACATTTTCATCTTCTTCTCAAGAACCATTGGGCCAATTTCAACCAAACTTACTACAAAGTATTCTTGGGTAAAGGGGATTCAAGTTTGTTCAAATAGGGCCATGCCCTTTTCCAAGGGGAGATAATTATGAATTAGAGAAAAATTAATGGCATTTTAAACAAATCTTCTTCTCAAGAACCACTGGGCCAGGAAAGATGAAACTCATGTGGATTCATCCTCAGGCAGGTAGATTCAAATTTGTACAAATCATGACCCCCTGGGGTAGGGTGGGGCCAAAATGGCCGATCAAAGTTTTACATAGGAATATATAGGAAAAATCTTTAAAAATCTTCTTCTCAAGAACCACTTGGCCAGGAAAGATGAAACTCATGTGGAATCATCCTCAGGTAGTGTAAATTCAAGTTTGTTCAAATCATGACCCCTGGGGGTAGGGTGGGGCCAAAATGGCCGATCAAAGTTTTACATAGGAATATATAGGAAAAATCTTTTGAAAATCTTCTTCTCAAGAACCACTGGGCCAGGAAAGATGAAACTCATGTGGAATCATCCTCAGGTAGTGTAGATTCAAGTTTGTTCAAATCATGACCCCCGGGGGTAGGGTGGGGCCAAAATGGCCAAAGTTTTACAAAGGAATATATAGAAAAAATCTTCTTGTCAAGAACCATTGAGACAAGAAAGATGAAACTCATGTGGAATCATCTTCAGGTAGTTTAGATTCAAGTTTGTTCAAATCATGACCCCAGGGGGTAGGGTGGGGCCAAATAGCCGTTAAAAGTTTTAAATAGGAATATATAGGGAAACCTTTTAAAATCTTCTTTTCAAGTACTTCAAAGCTTAGTGATATTTTTAGGGAATCATCCTCAGGTATTGTAGATTCTAGTTTGTTCAAATCATGACCCTCTGGGGGGTTAAAATTCAAGCCTCCCCCCTCCCCACCCTCAGTTATCTTTCAGTTCTGATCTGATATGTGCTTTTTTCTAGCCAATTGCTCAGGTGAGCGATGTGGCCCCTTGGCCTCTTGTCTATTGTAATTTACCCATGATGCTGTAAAAGCAGGCATATTTGTGTGGGATTAAATTTTGTTTATTTCATTTGAAACCATTTTCAACGAAATTAAATCCCACACAAAATATCTATATGACTATGAACTGAATAGGGTTATTTTCAAAACAACGAAATTGAATGCCTACGAAACTGATTTTGATGAAAAATCAACAAAATTTCATGCCCACAAAAATTTGTGCTTCTACAGTATATCAACATGGCTGTACACAAATCTTGACCCCAATAAGGACCATTTTAATTTCCTTCTGATAGAGACCAACAACACTTGGACTGACTGTTATGTTTGTACTAGTGTAGCTGCATGAGGACTGCAAGGTGATAATTAACGTGAATCAACTAATTATCACCAGCGCTTAAAATAAAAAGTACTAACTAATGGCCCTTCAAGGATAATATAGAGAGTTTATTAAAGTTGATATTAAAAGATGGGACACTGACTTTGGTAGTGATGTAAATGGCTAAGCCTTTAGTGATTGAATATACTTGTAGATAATTGAAATATATATTTGTTTTATATTGTATTCATATTCTTTATATAATCCATACAAATGGCTGCAATGTTATTGTTGACAACTTACAAGAACGATTCCGCATGATTAACGCACGATTAATGCACGATTAAACCTGTTAGACGAACGATCCTTCACGCACACGATTCTACACGTTACAAGATCTTATACGATTGCTAACGGCTAATGCAAACACACAATTCTTCACTCAAAATAGTTGAAAATATCTAGGAATCGATATTTTCAAAACGAAAAATGGTTTAATACTGATTTAAGATTTCAAAGAATTATTAATATTATTTCATAGAATTTGAAATATAAAAAAACAAAAAAAAATGGAAATGAATATTTCTGTAACTACATACATGTAAGACTTACATGTAATATTTTAGATTATAAATAATTATTTAGGCAATTCTCCGATCTAAAAAAAGAAACGGATTTTTTTCGTACTATCAGAAGATAGATATATAGGTTGACCATTAAATTTGATTGAATTGGATTTCATAATATGCAGAAAGGGCAAATGACAGCATGGAATGACTTAGATTACAAGTTATATCCATATGTTTCCATTGATTCATTGTTTGTGAATGTCGAAAATTAATCTTCTCAATTATTTAACATTTTTTTATTTGTAGAAATTTAAAAATTAATTTCAAGTAAGCTCCAGAATTAAACACTGATAAACAAAACATTGAAAATCATGCCATGTGTACGCATATTCGCTGACTAAATACTTATGTAAGCATTGAGAAATGTTTACAGGGGTGTGCAATTAGAAAAATCAATAACTAGCCCACGGGCTAATGGCAGCTATAAAGTTACTAGCCCCAAGTGAAAAGTTACTAGCCAATATAGGAGCAAAAATTAAAATAAAAAACTATACGTTGAAAAGAAATCAATTTTTGAAAAAGTCAGGGTACTGAGGTCATTCTTTTTAAAATCAAAGTTTAATTCTCACTATGAAATTAAATCATGTATAAATTATAATGAAAGAAGATTAAAATGAATTTAGATAAATTATCTTCCCTTTTTTCTGAACATTGCACTAGCTCAACTAGAATGAAATTTAATTCATTTTGTTTTCATCTTAAATCATTAAATACACTATAAATATATTTTAAGTGAGTCATAAAATACTTATCTTTCTGTTGATTGAGTGATCGTAAATAATTTAATGAGATATCTGCATGTATTTAGCATAAACGAAAAAATAGAGGAAATTCGGAATAGGAAAAAACGATCGTTTTGGAAGTAAATAAGTCAGGTAGTGCTGCAAAACAGATAAGATTATGGAGATTTATTGAGAGTAGGAGCATGTTTTCAGAAAAATTTTCACTGGTTGGGAATTTGATAGCAAAAACGAGTGAAAATACAGGTTGTGCTTTTCATGTATTGCGTGCATGTGTATAGTTATAATTTTTACTAGCCCTACGGGCTACCTCCATGCAGAAAATCACTAGTCCGACCCCAAAAAGTGGTAGCCCCGGGCGTTGGGCGATGCTAATTGCACACCCCTGATGTTTATTTATTTGTAAAAATATTTATTTTTGATGTATTGATTTTAAAATAATATCTTGATCACAGCAGTCTGAAAATCATAGAAAAACAAAAAGTAACATCTAAGTACAATTTATCACAATATAGGTCGCGCTGTATTTGACGAGAACATAACATTGTATGACTTACTATATTGCTTGTTTACAAGCAGTAATTAGTTCGTTCCGCAATCAATTATGGAAATTGCGCTTCATTCATTTTATCTGGATTTAAATAAAAAAAAAAACAAGCGAAATGCTTGATTAACAAATAACATTCCGATAAAAACTTACAAAACGAAATTTACACGTTCCTATACGCATGATCCCGCACGATTAAAACCGCAAACGATTGAGTCTGATACACGCACGATCTCGCACGTTACACGGACGATCACGCACAATACATGAATGATTCTACACGATTGGTTTGTCAACAATAACGTTGCAGCCACTGTACATGTATTCCTTATATAATCCATACAAATGAAAAGATTAATAAATCTGCAAATTCACTAGAAATCTTCCATATTAAGTAGATTCTTGTTTATGGCGAGTGACCTGTAATTACAGCCATTGAAAACCACAGTGTTGGAAAAAAAAATTTTGTTTCCCTTGATTCACTTTATCGATAATTAGAAGGAAGATGACTGGATAAGTTTCTGAGCTTAAGAAATATTTTTTCTTCCAGTTTCAAGAGGTTCAAGATCTTCTCAAACAAAAAGAAAGTGAAGAAGAGAGTAGAAAAAGAAGGTAAATTGGATTTGCTTAATGGGAAAAAAAGTTGAAGTCTATCATTTAGGTCATTTATAAGAAGTTTCAGCTAAAACACAAGTGTTTAGTGAAACATAGATGCCCCATATGGCAGCTCATGACTAAAGTTAAAGGTTTTCAAAAGTAGGTCAAACTCAGAATTGTGCACCTACTTCCTGTTCATTTAATTTTGTCTTTATAATTATCATAGAAAATGAACTTTGACCTATTTTCCATGACATTGTAGAATCGTGGACCTTAGGAGACAAGTGGAGGCTTTAGAAGAGGAGCTTCAGACATCTGTAGAAACTGCAAATATTCAGGTGGGTCAAAAAGTAACAGAAGGTGGTCCACAAATTATAGTCAGTGCTTAATTTAAAAAAAAAAAAGAATCTCTTTTTACTTGCTCTTGTTTTAAATTCTTAGCCATTAAAGGTGAATTTCAGATTATTAAGTAAGTTTAATTTCTGCATGTACCTTGTTTCCTGTGGTATGCAATAAAATTAATTATATTTCATGGGATCAAATTTTCATGATTGAGGGAAAAAATATTTGTTTGAGAGGAGTTGAATTCAAATATGGAAATGTGTAACAAAAATTAAGCTCACAAACATAATGATAGACTATGATGCTTTCTGTAATGCAATTATAAAATGAAGCTTCAGAACTAGCTTTTTGGAAAATGATTTGGACAGACACACCACAAAGTCAAAAATCTTGCTTGAAGATGGGAGAACTGTTGTTTTTTTTTTGCATCTTCTTCAGTTTTCTAAACTCCCTTGTCTATTGTAATGCAAATGGGGAAAATTTTATTTGGTACACACATAGTCATTAAGCAAGTTTACGAAAATATGTGTATAAGAACAAACAAAGGGGAAATTAAAGTACAGTTTGGAAGAAACATCGGGGATGAAGTACAGTTTGGAAATGCATGTGAAAAGTGCAGTTCAAATTATTGTGTTTACATGAAGTATTGTATAATGTGGAAATTTTGGCAGAACACAAAGGATGACTGCACTTAAAGAAACTTAGATATTGCGACATAATTAATTTAAAAAACGGGCATATTTCTTTTAATGGTAGAAATGGCCAATGTCTTAACTGAAACTTTGTGTAATTACGTTAATTAAGAGTTCGTATTAACGAAGTTCGAAGTCGTTTTTATTGGGAGGGGTCATCGCATATTCTGGAATCTCCATAGGATAATGAGTACGCCCACCTTTTTACAGGCTTAATACATAGTCAGCGCATGTTTGTCTATTGTTCTCCTTTTTGACCACGTTGTTAACTGTTGAATATTATAATTAACCACGTGATTTCTATATCCAGGTAACTCTGTGAATACTAAAATTCCATCACGTGACGTGTAAGGAAACACGCATTCTGCTGGGCGATTGTGATTGTCCATATCTGTTTCAACTTATCCCTATCGAGCCACGGGTTATTTTTTTTTCTCTTAGATATCTTTAAGATTTTTCTTATATTTATCTCAAAGCGTTTCATTTTACTATATTTACATGTATATATTTTCGAGTGTATTATATGTCTCTACATGTTCGTAGTAGACTACAAGAAAAAAGAGATTTATTTATTATGTTTTGAACCATCGCTTATCATGAACATCCAAAGTAAGATCCAGTAAATAAAAATGAAATCATACCATCCCCATCACGCTAATTCATGGGGAGAAGAAATTAAGAAAAACATAAGTAAATGTGACGTTTTTCTTTCATTTTTTTTTATAAAAAGGGAAAAATAAAGCAAGTCTTAATGTTGTTAAGGGGTCTCGATCCCAGACCTCAATATTATTGATTCTGTGCATTACCGACTGAGCTAGTCGGCACTTATATTCGAACACGCGAATTGTTGACATCAGCCATTGCTATTGATTATCAATGGCTATTTCTACCGGTCGATGTTATTTGTTATTAGTTATATACTTTATTTGAAAACTTACAAAAATAATAGTGACAAACATATGCAGAGAGAGAGTGAGAGAGAGAGAATGCACCAAATATAAATATAGTAACTATTCTAATTTTAGACCACTCTTCACAATATTAGCTCCACCTCTTATGCATATTTATAAATCTTATCTCCAGTCAAGGGCAGATAAGTCTAATTTCCCTATATTTGCAGAGAGGTGGGGTAAGAAAACAACAAATTATTTTATTGCAAAGCAGTTTATAACCTTTATGACATTGCCTTTCATTTGGAAATAGACCAAACTCTATAACAAATGATTTAAGGCAAAAATGAAAACAAAAATAGATGTGACAACAGAGATTAAAAAAGACCCCAAAACCGGCGTTAAGTGCAGTCATCCTTTAATGATTTCTCCAGGTTAAAAATTGGTATTTAAATTTTAGCGAGATGTAATCTAAGCGATTTTAAAATGTTCTTTAATGAAGCTATTACAACTAAAACACAATTAATTTTAAGCGATATTCAATTTTAGTGATCTCAACACCCTCGCTAATAATGCCAAAATTAAATCCTTGCTAAAAATTTTGTTTAAACTACAATGTACTAAAAAAATTCTTCCCTATTAAATTGGATTGTTTTGCAGGTCCAGTTGGAGGAGGTGACCAATGAGATGAGGAGAACAAACCAGAGAATGACCGTGCTTACACAGGACGGAGACAGAGTACGGCGAGAAATCGAGGGCCTCAAAAGACAAGTGGACGGTAATTTTTATCTTTAGGTCACCCCAGTCAATTGGTCAACATAATTGAATGTGTTTCTAGTACTACTTAATGTTTATTTATATTCTGTGTAATTACAAACAAGTAGAGCTACCTCTTATCAGGAATTTCTAGCTTTGCAAAGGTATTTTATTTTGCACTAAAGTTGGATATCCATATTTCTGATTATTTCATCTTTCTATTTTATTTATGACAAACAAGATAATTAACTTTTTAATCGTCAACTTCCCTTACCTATGCAGCAATGTACCTTCATCACCTGCATATGGGGTTTATATCTTTCAGTTGATTCGATACGCAAGAGTATCCTCTATGTATGAACAATTTTTAAAACAAGGTAAGTTATTGACAAACAAGTTGCTGAAACAAGAGTATCAACAGCCTCATTTAAAGTCATCATTTCGTAAGTTATATGGTCGATACAATGACTTGTCGGCAAATATAAGTTATCATGAAGTCAGATGCTGACTGTTGTTTTCATACCAATTGTTAGGCCATTATATTCGTACACACTGAATTGTCGACAGATTTTTCCATTATTATTCATGACAAAGAGCACACGGTGGGTGTGACTAATCGGAAGGGGATGCTCACTCATTTATGGCACTTGATCCCACCTCTGATGTTTTGGAGGTCCTTGTTTGTTCTACTCAGATTTTGTTTTGTTAATGGACTTTTGAGCTTTAAAACTGTTCGTTATCTTCATATATTTCATTAAAAAAGGCAACAAAAGATATTAAGTAATTCTTTAATAATTTTAAAAATTTGTCTTTATTTATATACAGGTTTCCAACAAGAACTCAAGGAAATTCAGAATATTGAAAACCGTAAGCTTGAAATGTTGAGGAACAGGCACAAACCAACTTACGATGCTGTCATGTGGTACAAGGACAATCGGGACAAATTCCAGGGGCAAGTCCATCTGCCTCTGTTACTCTCGGTAAGTACTGTAGGTCAATAGGTAACAGGTACACATCATTAAGAAGTACTCTAGCTGAATGGTACATGTACTGGGTTTATATAAATGGAATTGATCCAGAAGTGTGTGTAACTTTTTGGATGAAAGACCGAAAGATGCTTTCTAAACAGTCTGGTGAAGAACAGCAAAAGTTACTCAGGTTGGCGTTGCGGCCCATGGGCCTCCTGTTGTAAGCAGTTGTGAGAAAAAGGTTAATATATGGCGCTCAGTTGCCTGTCAAGGTTCAGATGGATCAGACTTGACATTTAATAAATTTTAATGAAAAAATCTCTGGCATTTAATGGACAGGTGATAATCATTTCTAGATGAATTTTGAAATGTCATTTGAAAAAGTCAATAATTATCGTTATTAAAGACGTACAACACACTGGGGGAGATAACTCTTGCGATTTCAATTGAACGTTTGACGTGACGTCAAATTTAACGTCCAAAATAAAGCGTCAAAACGACGAGTAAAACGATCCCGATGTATATCAATTATGAAAGAAAATTGGGATATGGGGCTTGGCTGTGATTGTGTGTACCATACTTGTATTTTTTAATTAACCCGATTAAACTCCGTAAAAAGCAAGACATAAAATACCATCCCTTAATGTTTATTTCATTTCATTTCATATACAATAAATTGTATTTTTGATCAAAGCGCAGCATTTTTTTTTATTCTGAAAATTTTATTTTACATTGCCGAAATTCTCATTACGTACAATTGGCTATATAACATTCCGATTAATGGTCTTCATTACAGTTTGTGCATTTACGATATAAATATTGTTTTTCTTCTTTAATTAAATAAAACAACAATAAATAAACAAAATAACTTTTTACAATGTAAAATCGATGTTGTTCTCAGACCCTTACTGATCAAAGAGGAACAACTCTGAAAATGTAGGAGATGTTTATTTTCCTCCCTTTATTCACGGTTTTCCACAGAATCAGATACATTTACAGCAAGACCTGATAAATCCGAGAATTGAATACTATAGACCTCATATACACAATGTAAGTATAGAATTGAAAAAAATTGTTCACTTGTACTGAAATTATCTGCATTTATGAATATCCTATTGCAGCAAATCGCTTGACTTTCTGTCAACAATGTCGGTTCGCATTTCCTCGAATCAAAACAAATCGTAGCCTATAAGATTTTAAAAAATAGAAAGTGCGATTTGATATAAATTGAAATAGAGGAAGAGTTTAATGTTTAATATTTTGAAGTTAATGTGGACGAATACGGAATTTTCATTTTAACTTTAGAAGCGACGACATCGAAAGAAATGCGTACAATAGCATGAGGGGTGTACATCTATGCAAATGTCGTATCCCCACGGCCACATACTGTCTCGTTTGAAATAATGACATGAAAGAAACTACAGTTATTCCATTTATATCACAGGAGAGTTGAACATACACATTTTTTAATGAATAAAATTAAAGAAATAAAATTAAAAATCAACATATTCAAGTTCAACAAAACTTGAATTCGTATTCAGGTTTCATGTGATATGGAATGCATAACGCATACATATATGGACTAAACACTAAAATCCTTCAGTAATTTTTTCCTGATACATATAAAAAGAGTAGTCAATAGCCGCATTCATGAATTTAAAAACTAATGCATACCTCCGGGATTCAAATGATGAAATACCAGTATATATTTGCACTGTAAACGACGTTTCGTCAAACGCTAATGGTCTGCGACGCAAAAAAAGGAAGGGGTGGGGGTGATAGGGGTATTCAAAAATTGCCTAAAAATCTACATTTAAATACGCTTTACATATGAGAACTTTTAAATTTGTAAGTTAATATATTTTTGAAGCAAAAGCAATATTCCAATTTAATTTTTTTAATGCGTATTTGTAGATTCATATAACAAAGTGATCGACCCCCGTCTGAAAGACGCGCGGGAACGTGATATTTTGAGAAAGGGGGAGGGGGTAATTTTCCGCTATTAAATCAAAACTGGTCGTACAAAAATTATATAAAAAATCATGAAGATTATTTTTACTACCAGCTACCTAAAGAAAGTTTTTTGCCAAAATTAAACGACAGGTTTTTTCACAAAAAAAATTTGAATTTGAAAAATACGTAATTTTTAAGGCTTAGATAATTCATAGTTTTTCATTTTAAGGTCTTTAAAAATTATTTTGATGATATGTATATCAAAAAGATGACTATGTTTTTGTGTTAAATTGTTAAAGGAATAAGCCAATGAAATTTGACATTTACATCTAACCTGGCTTTTTTGAAAATCAAGGTTTAAGTAGTTCATTGATTAAAAATTTTCTCTCCTTGTAAACAACTAAAGGGGGGTAACTTTTGGAAGTTCCTGTCCAAAAACCACTCGAACGATTTTGTCCAAAATGTGCATACATGCAGTAGATATAGTCATGTACTAAATATACAAAAATAACGAAAATTAAACGACAGGAATTTTTGGGGGTAGGTGTGTTGTACATCCTTAATCAGGATTTGATGTGTCTTTATTTATATTTCAGGTAAATCCAACGTCTCCCGCAGTAGCCAAGTTCATCGAGATGCACATCAGTGCCAATGACATGAGGGCGTTTATCTTCGAGAACACGGAGGACTACAACGTGTTTATGAGGGAAGTCCGAGACAAGCAGAACCTGAGGGTGAACGCCTTGAAAGTGCCTCCCCAGCAACTGGCAGCCTTCAACGCCAGACACAATATCTCTCGTTATAGGTAAACCCCCCCCCCAAAAAAAAAATTAAAAGGTCCTGCACAGCTTGTTCGTTCTCAATAGAAATTTTTAACACTCAGTAAATCTTTCATAACTTGGACATGGAGAGTCCATTGAAAAAAGTTTGAGATACTGATCAAACATAAAACCCAAGCAAATGAGAAAAATCTGACTCGCCCGCTTGTTTATGGACATCCACACTTTGGAATTCCCAGATACAAAAGTCCAAGTGTACTCTGTTTAGAGAGCATTCAGAGGTTTAAATAATATTATTATGTTCCACTTTCATTCCTCTGTATCGCATTTTGTTCATTTCCCACTTGGCATTTAAAGTAATTTTCATAAATGTTAATCAGAGGTTAAAGTCATTTTAATTCATTAGTTAACATTATTTTTATTTAAAAATATCATGAAACTAGATAAGGTGAATAATGTGTCCTAGAAAGTGATTTAAAAAATTGAAACCCTCAGAAGGTTTTCTGTACGAATTTAACATAAATTATTCCTGTGTTTAAGTCCATATTGTAGAGTTAATCTATTTAACACCCTACCATTATCTCCTCAGAAAATGAAATTTATGACCTCATAATACCAGGAGTCATTAGGATTTTCACTGCAATGACTTCAAATTACAGTGTATCTGTTATCCTAGTATCAATATTTTTTCATTCTAATAAGATGAACATTTTAAAGGTTAAAAGATAGAGATAAGTATCAAGAATATTTTGATATTTAATCAATTTATGCAAGTTACAAAATATAAAATCCTTCTACAAAAACTCAGAAATGTCTTATGATGTGGAAACCATATGATGCTAAGTAATTTGTGACCTGTGTCTTGCAAAAGCATAATTACATGTCTGTACATGTAGAGAGGACAAAAATTATATACCCCTGTGATCTTTTGATCGGGGGGCATAAAAATGATTGACAGACAAACAGCTAGAGTATATACACATTACACAGATTCAAACAAATGTTCCTTACATTTTGAGACAGAAGAAGACCAAAATTTAAAAGTAATACTCAGAATGGAAATTTATAGGAAAAGTTACTAACTCAAAACAAAGCAATCTTTCTTTGACCAAAGCAAGAGAGAAAAAAAGTATGAAGTTAACATTGGGAAAAGGGATCAGGAAGCTGCTTAATTTGTGATTAACAGGAGAAAATTATTCACAACAATGTGGTATTGATGGGAAATATAGGGACTGTTTGAACTTCCTGATACTATCATGTGATAATTAGTACGTTAAAACAGATGATAAATTGATGATTATTAATGATCTTTGTCTGATTTATAATCATTCCCGATTAAATTTTTGTTTATTAATTGAAGCAGTAATTACTCTTTTACATTCTAAGGTATGATCATTCATTCATTGATGGTGAATTACAGCTTAGACTCTATTGGTTTTCAAAGATTGAATATTAGAATAAAAAGTAATTACATACTCTATTAAAAACTTAATCATGAACACATAAAACTGCACAATTACATAACTTTTCCAAGATTTCTTGAGATGGAACTTTTATTTTAGGGATGGTAATGATGTTTTGCTTAAGGTCAAGATCTAGTATTATAACTTTAGACTAATTTTTTGGTGCTAGATCCATTATGACGTCATAATCAATTTCAACTTTCTTTTTCCCGTACTTATGTAGAAAATAGGATATTTTCATGACATTCAATTTGAAATCATATGAAAAGTAAACCGGATACCTATATTAAATTTGATATTGATTTAAAGAAGAGGCCACGAACATACTAATTACCATTTTCTGAGAGACTGTAGGCAGTCTGGATACATTTCCTTTGTCGAATAAGAAAAAAACTCCCATATTCATGATTGTTTTTTTTAATTTTTCATTGAAAATGACAGTTTGAAATACATTTTTTCATCTTGTTTACCAACAAATTATACCCCGAAACACCTTATTTGACCAAGCTAAAGTTGTAAAGCATCAATAAAGGAATTTACATGTATTTCACAAGTTTGATAAATCTGTAGGCACGTTTCATTTACTAGATCTTGACCTTAAGAGTAATACCTCCTCTAAGAAAACTGGAAGAGGGCTATTTTTCTTCAGGATTATTGAAATAAAAAATTATTTACATTTATAGATTTCTGTTATGAAAGATAATAAATTGTTTTCTCCTGACACATGTGACACATGGGTTTTTTTGATGCAAAAATTTGTTCATTGTCATTTGTCTTCATCATTGTCATTCTTGTCGTAGTTCTTTGTAAAGGACAAGATAGGGTAAGACCCCTTTTTGGCCCCTGATTTTGGGTGTCTTTTAGAATGATGCAACAGTTTAAAATCTGTTGTCATCCGTGGCAAAATGAGTACCGTAAATCTGGAAATTTTTACGTCGATTTTATTTTGCGAATTCGGGTCAAAATGATGTTGATTAATTTTTACGTTTCAAAATTTTGCGAATTACCACTGCTTTGTTTACATTTTCTTATTGGTGATTTATTTTTAAGAAAAATATTTTTGCGAATGCAATGAACTCGCAAATTTGCTAAAAATTTATCTACAGCAAAAATTTCCAGATTTACGGTATTGGTTCTAAGTTTTGAAATACACAGAATTCACAGCGAGGTCAGAGAATACATATAAATCAATTTTTTTTTAATGCAAATTTTCATCAGTTTTACAGCACAGTTTGTTTCAGAAAGCATAGAGCACAAGCTTGCTTATCTACCAAATTTATATATTTTATACACTTATCAGATGCAGTTTATGTGTGAAAATCTCAGATAGGCAAGCTTATGCTCTATGTTTTTGAAAGAAACAAGTATCTCAAATATTACGAAATTCCACCAGAATTGAGGAATTCTGGAAAATATCCTTAACTTCTGCACCATCTTGTGACCTCCATGTAAGCTTTGAATCAAAACAAGTGCTGGTTTGAAAGAAAGCATCAGTGTATGACTAAGTTCTTAACTACAAACTATTACACATTCACCAGTGTTCTGATTTTTACATCAAATAAAAGGCCAGTTTTGGCTGTTACCCTATCTTGTCCTTTTTCACCTTTTTGACTTCAAAAACCACTGGGCCAACTTCAACCAAACTTGGCAATTTGATTAAATGAATGGCCATGCCTTCTTCCAAGGGTGAGATAATTATGCTTTCTCAATTCTTTACACTCAGGGGTAGGATTTTCTTTTTCTTGAATGAGTTGATTCTACAAAAATTACATCAGAGTTGTCCATCTTATGACATAAGAATCAAGTGTACATGTTGTAGTTTTGAACTACTGAATTACTGTGACGTGTGTACACTTGAAAAAGTACTGGCAGTTTGATGTTCATGACAAAGTTGTTAAGAGATTATTGTAGTTTGAAACCAAGATCTCATGTGCGTTTAGCAGTTGGACACCTTCTCTTGTTTAATTTACATAGCTTGTAATAATTAGAAAGATTTTGTCATTCCTAATTTCCTTTGACAGTCAGTTTGGCTTTGTGAACTACCTGACGGATTACATCGTGTGTGCAGATGGAGTAAGACGCTATCTCTGTGCTCAGTATCACATCCACAACATCCCGGTCGGAACCCGACGCACCAAAGATCTGGTGCAGGACATCAAAAGAAAATGTCCGGAGCTGAGGACCTTCTACACTGACGAGTACCAGGTCTGTAGGCTGCATTTGTTCATAATACAAGAACATTTGAAGCATGTGTAATTGTTCCCACTGAATAGAATTCCCTTGTTCTGTTTTGAATTCTCCCAAAAATATTTCTATTTATGAAAGGTATACATGTACATGTACTGATATAAATTACCGTATAGCAGGTTTTCTTGGCAGGTGTAAAATTTGGCGTTTTGCCTCCTCATAGGTATGACAATAATTTTGGTGTAATTAAAATGCCAAAATTAGCACCCCGCAAAAATAACCTGCTATATGGTACTTTGTCTCACTGCATGATTTTGGTTGAGTTGAAGAGCTATGTTGATTACTTGTTAAAAATATGTTTATTTTTATGTTCGCAGTACACTTGTCGAGTATCCAAGTATGACAAGTCTGTGTCTTCCAGAAGCACCAAAATCAGGTAGGCCCTTTGTCATTGCTGATCTGTACAGTGTACTCTCATTAGAGGCCTGTTCAACAGACCGAGCACTCGCAAATGTTTTTTATTGGAGGCATAAGGAATTTTGGCGAGCGCTCACAAACGATCGTTCTGTTAAAAGTTTGCTCTGTTAAACAGGCCTCAGGTCTACTCTCATTAGGTCAAGTACACTCATTGCTGTTAAAATAATGACCTGTAAGTACATCACCAGAAATCGTACAGGGAAATAAAGTTAGTTTTTACTCACATGTATATATTTGTCAAATGAATTAAAGAAATCTATATTTGGTTGACAATTTTGATCCTCACATTACAAAATAATTATACCCCCCGCAAACGAAGTTTAGGGGGGGTATATTGGAATCACCATGTCCGTCTGTCCGTCTGTCTAGCTGTCCGTCTGTCTGTCTGTCTGTAGACGAGATTTTGTCCGGACCATTACTCAGAAACTATTGGAAGGATTTGTCTGAAAATTTGTACACATATTATTCACCATATGAAGTTATGCACCTGAAATTTTCATCGTGATTCGATTATTATTTTGAATTTTACAGGTGTTTTTTCATTTTTATTTTGTGGTTTTGTCCGGACCGTTTCTCAGAAACTATTGCAAGGATTAATCTGAAAATTTGTACACTTATTATTCACCAGATGAAGGTGTGCACCTGGAATTTTCAAATCTTTTTGTTAATTTTTTTGCATTTTACAGGTTTTATTTTTTATTTTAATTGACTTGTTCATTTTGGGCTCATGTATAGGGTTTGAGATATAGAATCTAGAATATCTGTTCAAAAATACTACAGATTAAAACTACTCATAAAAACTTTAAAAAAAGAAACATCATCAAGTGTTAAAAACAGTTTTTACATTGCACAGAAGATAATGTAATTTCATTTGTCTCTTGGGAATAATGACTGGACATGCATCCAGTTAAAGATAAATTAATGAGTTTGGTGTTGGAAGTTGTTAAGGCATAGCTCTTATCAAGCGTGTGTGTTATCTAATCTCCAGGGAATAAGGCACAAGAATTAAAGATCTCTCTTCTCTTATTCTCTTAATTGTAATTTATTGTCTGTCAAAGCACTTCATTACTGGATGACCAGCTCTTTATTTTCAAAATGCATTTCAAATTGATATATCAAGATTAATTTGATTTTGTATTATGTTTTTTTTAAACAATCAGTTTGCAGAGTGACATAACACATAATTGCAATATATTTTTTTAATGCAGAAATAAAAAAAAAATGAAATGAAAAAATAAAAAAAATGTTACAGTGGAATTACAATGTATTAGTATTGATGTTTCATTTGGTTGCACCTTTGTTTCATTCATAAAGAAACATGATGAGCAATTATATTTCACTGCAAATTTTTGTAAGTAAATTGTGAACACCTCTAGATCCATAAAGTATTTTTGAATTGGCACCTTCTCTGAAAAACCCAGCGGGGGGTATTTGTCCCTATTGGACAGTTCTAGTTTTTAATGAAGTATGGTGTTTCAAAAGTATGAAAAATATTGTTACTAATTTAACATTTAAACACATTAAAGGCCAAAAAACTTTTATCTTTCTTTAATTAATGACACTGTATGCATAGTAATTGGACTATGATTTGACTTGAACAGGGACCCCCAGTGGATGTCTGCTTCAGTGGACGCCTCCAGAATCCAGGAACTCAACAACGAGATCAGGGTAAGTGTCAAAAAGAACTCAACAATGAGATCAGGGTAAGTGTCAAAAAGAACTCAACAATGAGATCAGGGTAAGTGTCAAAAAGAACTCAAAAATGAGATCAGGGTAAGTGTCATAAAGTAGAAACTCAACAATGAGATCAGGGTAAGTGTCAAAAACTAAAAACTCAACAATGACAGGGCTCTCACACCACTTTTTGGGACTGGGGCCGGGGCCGTTGAAATTGGGAAAATTATCGTCATTTTGGGAAAAGTTGGATAACACAAATTCATTTAAAAAAATCCTCAAATTTTGCTTTTCTAGCATTTTATCATCAATGCTAACTCTGGTTTGAATATACAGTTAAACAGAACAAACATGGGTATGTAGGCTATTTATGAAAGTACATTAGCTTTGTCATTACTATCTTTGAGTGTTGATATTGCGGTTATATGTCTTACTGCGTGACAGACGCTAGTCACATAGTCCCGAATTTCCTCGATCACATGGGCAACTTTGCTTACCAATAAAGCGCGAGACTGAACATGCCAAGCGTGGGTATGTTTCTAGGTGTAGCTTACTAATGTTTAAATGAAATGTCTATTTCTGAAACCAAAATGCTGGTTTTTGTCGAAACTACATAACAAGATACTCTGCACTCATCTATTAGTTGTATACATTTTTGTAAAAACAATAACCTGGTTCCCCGAACCAGTTTACGAATGCATTTGGCGCGAACTAATAAGATAATAGTACAGTGCAAATGTGTTTTTTGCGATTAGGTTTGATGGACTTTTATTTTTTAATTAATATTTTACTCTGGATGGAAATTGGGAAATTTACACCTTTCTTTTGGGAAAAAAGGTACCTTTTTTGCATTGGGAACGGGGCCGTTGAACGGCCCCAATTTTAGAGAATCGAGAGCCCTGAATGAGATCAGGGTAAGTGTCATAAAGTAGAAACTCAGCAATGAGATCAGGGTAAGTGTCAAAATGAACTCATCAACGAGATCAGGGTAAGTGTCAAAAACTAAAAACTCAACAATGAGATCAGGGTAAGTGTCATAAAGTAGAAACTCAACAATGAGATCAGGGTAAGTGTCATAAAGTAGAAACTCAACAAAAAAAAATGAGATCAGGGTAAGTTTCAAAAAGAACTCAACAATGAGATCAGGGTAAGTGTCAAAAGAACTCAACAATAAGATCAGGGTAAGTGTCAAAAAGAACTCAACAATGAGATCAGGGTAAGTGTCAAAAGAACTCAACAATAAGATCAGGGTAAGTGTCAAAAAGAACACAACAATAAGATCAGGGTAAGTGTCAAAAAGAACTCAACAATGAGATCATGGTAAGTGTCAAAACAAGATTATAGGTATAGTCAAACTACAAAATCTCGAAGCCGATATGGCTGATAAAAAAACTTTGAGATATCCTTGGATTCCAGATATCAAGAGTAAAATACTACAGGAATATGTAGTTGGGACTTCCTAATCACTTCAACGTATCCATGGTATTCGAGATATTGTAGTTCAAGATATCAAAGTTCAACTGTATATCAAAGTAAGACTTTGGCAGTGAGATTACTGTATTTAAATTCTAACAAAGTAATGAGGCTATTCATATGAGAAATGGATGAGATTCTGTAGATGCCAAAACAACGGGTTTCCTGCTTTTCCAATCCTTTATTAATGCTCTCAACTACAGTTAAAATTTGATACTGTATAGGGGGAAAATAACTCGCGGTGTTAATATTCGCTATATTCACGGTGATAATAAATCCGTGAATTCAAGAAACAGTGAATAATTTTTCAATATCTTCATCCATGTTTTATTTGGAAATTTGAGAAGAAACTACGATAGGTTTAAATACATGTACAACAGAACATGGTCATTTCAGTAATTACGAGTAGTACTTGTCATTCAATTATTTTAATTGGCACGCTTTACATTAATTCAAGTCAACAGATAATAACCTGTATTTGTTAAAAGACTTTTTTAAATAACTAACGCTAATTTTTCATCAATCAATACACGCAAGACATGAGTTTTGATTATCCGTGCGTAACTTATGTTACCACGCACGGTGTGTGCATTACCTGCATTATCATGCATATTATAGTTTTTATCGACATTTTGATTTGAAAAAGTCATTCAAATAACTATCGAACTTACTGAAGATGTGAAAGGATATTATTTCATCGACCTACATTTACACATTTATTACCGTCCAGTGGTATTTCGCCGCGATATTTTGAAGATCTTGGGGTGTACATGCACTCATCGTAATAGAAAGTTATTTGACGTTTATAGTCAAGGACTTTTGATAATTGCACCTGTTTTAATTAATCGTCAATTATTTATTAAATCTAACTATTTTATATTAACCAACTCTGTTGTTTGTGAAATAAAGACATAACAATGATGAATGTCGTTTATATATAGCTATGGATTAAACGTATATAGACCATGATAGACAAGGGAGGTAACTTCTATAACATAAGAATTCCGCGAATTCAAGAAACCGCGATCATGTCCGATGAGAGAAAACCGTGAAAATTACAACCCGTGAAATTAATCCCCTATACAGTATCTAAAAAATCTGACATCTTGAAAACCATGGATATGTAGAAGTGACTTGTAAGTCCCAAACATATAATTTAAAAAATATTTTACCTCTAATATCTGAAATCCTTGGATATCTCAGAAATTTTTTTCTTAGTCCTTTCTACTTTAATTTGAGATAATGAGATTTGACTGTATTTGGTGCCTTGCACCAGATTTGTGAATTGAGAAGCAGCCGCTATAATGATGAAATAATCATCACCAATCATAAAATAAAACGAGATTTTAATTATGCATATTAATCATTTCTTTAATTAAGATCTTGTATTGCAGAGTTGTCAAGAACAGAGGAGAGAGAAGGAGGCTGCCTACACAAGGTTACAGCAGGAATCACAGGAGCTGGACACCAAGATGAATAAACTCCGAGAACAGAAGGTGGGATATAAAGCAGGGTTAATTAGCAGTGGCTGATTAGGTTTTAGAGCCTTATTTTAAAGAAGTTAATTAGCTTCTTTTTCTGAAATTTTTGTTTTAAACTTACATGTACAGTATACATATAAAAAATATTTCCTTTCCAGAAAAATCTATCCCTGTTAAAGGACAAGAAGAAAAGGCTACAATCTCAGATTGACTCCAAGAAACAAAGGTGAAGAGAATAAAACATTGACTCATATCTAATGAACAGGCTCATATCTAATGTACAGGTATTTCAAAGAATCTTTCAGTTGGAATGTCATATCATTTATAAAGAGTTTTGCTGTAAAAGTTAGGTCACCAGAGTATCAGAAATGTTATTATAAACCAACATTTTGATAAAAAATGAAGACAAATTAAATTTTGGGTCAATCAATCACCCTGACCAGTAGGAAGATATGAATGAACAGGTCATTTTAATTGGAGAACTACTTCACTGGCTATCATTATACCTGTACCAAGCTTATCCAGTCTTCACAATTAGCACAGATTTAGGAATATTTTTTAGATAACAAACACAGCTTCTTTTTCTCTATGGCTCTATTCCAACATACTGTAAACGGCTGTGTATTCTCTTTAGCACCTTTTGTGGAAAGAAGCTTCCGCTAATTCAAGTACAACACTAATTGTCTAGCACATATACTCATAAATAAGAATATATGAAAATCTATGCTAGCTAGACTAAGTGTGAAAATCAATTTCTGCCAAAATTGAACGCACCAAATATAATGCATTTATACATGTAGTAAGTTGCTTTAATGTCTTGTGATTGCGTAGCTTGTCTATCTGCTGCACAGTCTGCTGCAGCTTTCAATGTGTTTGGATCTGGATGATATTTTTGACACTGTGCTTTGAAAATCCAGAGACCAATCATCCATCTTGCTAAAAAAAATTTTTTAGTTGGTACTTTAATGGTTTGGTCTGAATTGAGAAAGGCAAAATTTTTCGCTCTGTAACAACCTTATATTAGTAGTTTTTGAAAGCAAGAATATAGTTTTGGGCATGCCACAAATTAACTCTGATTTCAAATGTATAACATTTGAATGAAATTCAAATAAGATCACATGACTGAATCACCAAGGTTAGTGTGCAAGGTACGAGCCTTCAGAGGAACACCGATTGTCATGTTTTTTTATCTTCTTAAACCTCTTGCAATTTCCTGTTACAGTAGTGAATGATCAGGGTACATTAAGACTACCTCTATGCTCTTAAAGTAATGCATTAAAGCAGAGAACTTACACCCCTCCTCCTCATTTCATGAACAAAAATTATCTTTACATAACTTTATGAATAAATATAATAGTTATTAATTAAAACCACATATTGAATTTCCCATCATTTTGTATTATAATTAACTTTCTGTAGAATACAAAATGAGGAGGCTGAGGCAATAGACTTGGATGCTGAGAAAGAGGCCACAGACAGGAAAAAGAAGGAGTTGAACGTTAAAATGTGTGTCTGTCTGCAGAAAATGAAGGATAACACAAAGGTAGGTTGTGCCTCCATCCCCAGGTGTGGCAGACAGATGCATTAAGGACCACTATAACCATAAAAAATTAAAGAAACACTATTAACTGTAAGTTGTCTGTCCAGTTGAGGCAGACAGGTGCATAGGGATCAATTTGTCTGAAGAAATTGGACATCCTTAATTTGTGTTGTGTCATTGGTTAAGGCAGACTGACACTTAGGGATCACATTGTCTCAAGAAATTGAAGGAATAACTACTCCACTAAGTTGTGTTAAGCTTGTGTCACTGGTTGAGGCAGACAGACTGTTAGGGACCACTTTGTCTCTGCCCCACAGCCTGGCAGGGAAGAGTCCCACATTCACTGTCCCACATGTATAATGTAAATAGAGGCCCAGAAGCTTGTTCTTTGGAGCCCTCTTGTGTTTCGTTCACGAGAGGTGATGCTCTTCCTTTCTTCTATTATATATTGTTAGTAGCTTTTACTTCTCATACAAAGCTTAAATATAAAGATTTAATATACCTATTTCAACTTTTGAAAGATCAAAGTAAATTTTTGTTTGGTTCTACTTTCCATGCATAGTAACAGGTAGCCTTCTCTTAGGCATTATCGCTTGTGTTATATGAAGTGGTTTTAGCATTTGCTCTAGAGTCACAGAGTAAGAATTAGATCTTTATGTTGCGGGCCACAATCCCACTGCTGTACATGGAGATCTTTGAATGAAACCAAGTTCTGGTGAAGTGGTAGATGTTGACACAGCAAAGATCCCTCATTCCTCAAAGGCCCTTAAAGCTACGGACAAGTCTAAATGTACAGCCCTATATAATAAAAAGTTGGTCTCAATATGAATGAAAAATTCTCTATACTGGTACATTCAACAAAGAAACAAAGTAACACAGACTTGTACTGTTTTCCAGACAAACTGCTTATGTAAAGAAGTGTAAATTGAATGTTGTTACCAGTCTTTGTAATCATCAGTAGTTTATTATGAGCTTGAAATAGATATATACAAACTGTATTTTGTTATCATTAGTGACAGTCAGCTGAGTATTTATTATACCCCCCTGCAAACAAAGTTTGCAGAATTTATTGGAATCACTTTGTTTATCTATTTGTTCATGCAGTGAAGTCTTGGATATTACTTTGTATTGTTAAGCGAATGTGTATGAGCTAACACTACTGGACGAAAAAAGTGCTGAGAATCCCAAATTTTACTGATAATGTCTGATAATTACTGATACGGTGCTGTTCTTGCTGATAATTACTGATATTTACTGTTATTATTACTGGTGTTGCTGATAATTTTAGTTGTAGCTGATAAATACTGATAATTACTGTGACTACAGTCGTCTTTTACTGTGGAGTCTGATAAATACTGTTGAGGTACTGTCGCTGCTGAGAATTGCTGATAATTACTGTTGAGGTACTGTCGATGCTGAGATTTACTGATAATTACTGTGGTCATTGTTTTTAACCTGGGAATGGATTAAAATAGCCTGAGAAATGATTATTTGTTTTTTTTTTTAAAAAAGTTATTTTAACAAATTCATTACAGTCAATTACAAAATAAATTATTCTAAATAAAAAAGTCACATTTTATTAATTTGTTTTCAGTTTTCATATATTAATTTCATTTTAATAATTTTTGACCATAATGTTAACATAAGCTTTCATAAATGTTTATGTTTTTTTCTTTAAATTTCTCCTTACACGTAGATGACATTATCTGAGGAAAATTATTCTGTTGTATTTGCAGTGGTTTTTCTTCCCAAGTACTTTTTTAAAAAGTTTAATTTTTGTTCAAAAAAATCTCATCTCATATTTTTTCTCACATGTATGTGTACTGTCATCAAAAGCTTTTTGTGGATTTCTTTAATACTTCAATACAGTCAATGGTTTTAAATATCAATTTATTTTACCATGTGGAGAACTGAAAATGCATGAGCACATTAAGTTGAAAACACCCCCCTTTTCCAATTACTTTTAAATTAAGCTCTCATTTTAACAAGACAGTATTAAATATTTTTCATAAAATCTAGTCTTGAAGCGTACACTTTGTTATTTTATAGAAGAATGTGACAGGGTTAAATAATTAAATTGAAGCATCTTCAATTATTTTTTTTTTATAGATTATGTAGACAGCGCGCTCTAGTTCTCCGATGTCCTCCCTGCGAATTTTATATCATGTCGCTTTCTAGCTTTCTCTCTCTCTCAATCTCTTTTAAATTATTTGTTAAGGCTTAAGGATTGTACACTACATGACATAAATCTTATGCAGAGTGATTTTCAGTCAATGAAATATACGTCTTTCTTTAGGCTAATTCTTTTTTTATTGTATACAGTTTTAAGTCTATGGGCATATGGCTTCTAATATTATGCGCCACTCCTTAAACATGTTATATGCGGTCAGTCAATTAAAAAACTAAATAAAATAAATCATAACTTGAATAAACTTTTTCCATTAATGCAAACTTTGTGCTTGTTGTTATTGAACATACATGTCAACCACGTGTAAAAGTTCTACTTTCGTTTTAGAATCGGGTCAATTATTAGTACATTCTGACATAGGGATATCGTTACGGCTTGCGTTTTTGTAAAATTAGAATTTTGTGCAGTGATTATAATTATTTTTTAATTCCATTTTTCTCCGAGACCTTTGTATAAACGAACAGTACAGACTTGGTGCTTATTTATATGATTTTACTTGATTGTAGCACAAAAAAGGAGGGGGTGAAATACTGTTTACAATTAAGTGATAGCCTATAGGGCAAGGTCTGTTCTTTAGTTGTGTGTTTTAAAAGTCATGCAAGTTATGATAATATACTTATCGATTTTTTTATATGCATGAATAAATTTTTTTTAGAGAATCAATTGCAATGAACCATACACATTTCAGAACTGAAGTAATTATAACATTTATTCATGAGTGCGATACACAACGTCATGCATGTTTCTGACATTCAAAATCCATAAATTTAGAGATTTGTTTTCTCGGATTAAGCGAAGTTGAGTTTCCCTGCATCTCAATTGGGAACAATTCATGCTTATATTAATTTAAAAAAGTGCTTCACTAAACAATCTTTCTCTTTATATCTATATGATTGTATATTTTGCACACTTTTTTTTTTATTAAAAAGTGAAGTCAATTTCTCGTCTACGTATTTACCGGTCCAAAACAATCGTTAGCAGAGATTCAGAATTGAAAATACTCCCCGGCCTAAATTCCCTTACTTCGCATTTATAGCAACCAACGAAATTTTTTTTATCTAGTTTCTTATTCACGCATGCCTTTTAGACCTACTGTTATGTATAAAATCACATACATTTTATATGTTTTTGTGGTCTATGTATACTTAAGTAAAATGGTAAAAAGATTCAAATTTAAATGATTGATTGATTGAAGAAATATGCGTAAAACTAAAAAATGAAATTAAATACTGAAGAAGATAGATCTTTGAGAATTGAAATAATAATGAAAATAAGTCTGTACAACGTACATGATGTACATGTATATATCTTCTTTTTTTTCATTAAAGTACCAAAGTGTTCTATTCTAAATATTTTTTCTATCAATTTTATTCGTCATCAAATTCAATATTACGGATTTTTTTTTTCGCGCGACCATAAACTTTAAGATTGTTCCAAAGTAGCGAGTACATGTAAAGTGTAGGTAGTTTGTTTATTGATAACACCGGTAGCCGCAGACGAAGAACAATAGGTAATTAGTGCCCATTGTTACGCTGACCACTACAATTTGCATGGAATATACAAGTTGTACCCCGTTCTACCCCGGGGCTGAAGACATGTACACAATACAGCCAAATCACAGGTCGATCACCGATTTCTGATCAATTGAAATCAATATAATGGTGTTTTCCTTTCAACTTTTTACCATGCAAAATTAAAATCGATTAATTTGATCATATACTAATAGTAGCATATTACATTAAGTCTCATTTCATTTCTTATTTCCCATTCCATAAAATCAAATAAAAAAAATCAATGAGATTTCAAAACTGATTAAATAAAAAATGATTTTATATTTAAATTTTAAGACAAACTAAATACATGTTCCTTTGTACTAGGGATTCTTAACCTCTAATTTTTAATCAGCTCGCCCCATTTGCCGGTTGCACATGCATACAGCGTGTACTTGTACATATGTACATGTGGAGTAGTTTAATTCTTGGACGATCTACAAACGTCTACATAACATTAAAATAAATGAATAAATAAATAAATTATTAATTAAAATCAGTGCCCACAGATTGAACATAATTTATTCAAAACTGTTTTCACCTCTTAGTTACTTTTTAAAGGGATAAAATTTCTAATTTCCAAGCAAATTTTTCAAATATTTCGACAAAAAGAGACCAGAAAACTGAACATTTAACAAGATAAATATAATTGTTTTCGAGAAAAAAAGGCCTTCAAAAACAAAATGTTGTCCAAACTCGACCAGTTGACCAATTGAAAACGGAACAAATCCAACTTTTCTAACCTGCAGGAAACTTTTTTTATCCCGATTTTTTTCCCATCCATTACGAACTTTTTTCTTATTATTGAAAAAAAAAGATCACCGATCTCTCTACATAATTTTTTGGCGTCGGGAAAGGCGGCGATGTATCTTTTTTAAGATAGCATAATTTTCTTTTATTTACAGTTTATTTTTCAATAAGATCTTATGCAAAAGTAAAATTCCATTTTTTTCTGCCGTTAATTTTTTTTATTAATTCTATTTCTATATATTCATTCTATTAATAATTCATTTGATTATTGTCAAAATTTTCACAAAGTTAACGTAATGTAGAAATTGAGATCAGCATACATACATACAGTCATGTAATTTTGCCATAAGCAGAACATTTAAAAAAAATATGAAAATTTTGCCATGATAATTCAAGTAAAAGAAAGTAATAATTGAAGGTTTTTATAGCCCGTTGTTTTATTTTAAACCAATTACCAGGTTAAAAACAATGACCACAGTAATTATCAGTAAATCTCAGCATCGACAGTACCTCAACAGTAATTATCAGCAATTCTCAGCAACGACAGAACCTCAACAGTATTTATCAGTATTTATCAGACTCAACAGTAAAAGGCAACAGTAATTATCAGTATTTATCAGAAACAACAAAAAATATCAGCAACAACAGTAATAATAACAGTAAATATCAGTAATTATCAGCAACAACAGCACATTATCAGTAATTATCAAACTTTATCAGTAAAATTTGGGATTCTCAGCACTTTTTTCGTCCAGTAGTGTAAGGGGATTTCATGACCTTGACTCAAGGTTATTGATGCAAGTTCAAGGTCACTAAGCTAAAACATTTCAAATTCTTGTTTAGGCTCTAAGTCTGTAATCAAGAATCTTTGGAGATTCATACTAGGTACAAGTTTTGTTTACAAGGTCATTCTGGCAAGTTCAAGGTCACTGGCAGAAAAAAAATTCTTGTCAGGGCTATAATTTTGTATAAATGAGAATCATTAGAATCTCATGCATGGTACAAACATTGATTATACCTGATGGTGTGTCATAACTTTGACTGAAGTTTAATATTTATCCACACAAAGTTATTAATGAATAGTATGAGAAAATAGATAGCCAGAAAAGATTGATATATACAGTTCATCAGAAATTAAACTTGCAGAATGTGTGCCTCATTATTGAAGATCTTACATTAGGTTTTTAATTTATACTAGATAAAGGTTATCTCTGAAATCTACAAATATTGAAGCCCTAAAAAAATATGAAAAATTTAACAATATTACAGCTTAACAAATATGAAAATTACAGTGAATTTGAAAATATAGTTTAAAATACATTTTAAACATTTGTATACCAGAAAAAGAGCAACATTCATATATATGAAAAAAATTATAATTTAGGTCAACTTTATAAAAGATTTTCGTGTGTTTGTTTTCAGGAATGTTTAAGTCTCAGTATAAATAAAGTTCGGTTAAGTCTGAAGCATGCTTCCATTGTACGAGACCTTCAGAGCTTGGAGGATGCCAAGAGAGAACAGTCCCATTCCTTACAAGACTTGGAGGTAAGATATTTAAAGACAGTTATTAATTCTGAGCATTTATTGTAACCTCTGTCCCTAAACCATTGACAAGTTTGCGGCATGCCTGATGAAATCTGACTATTGGATTCTAAAGAATTTCTTTTCTTATTTTTAAGGGACAAAAGGGGGCAGATATATTCTATCATTCAAAATTGCCCCATAATTATTTAAGAAGCATTTTAAAATTGTGCACACACAATAAATATTTTTTTAAAAAATTGTAAAGGGGTTTGGAGTTTTGTGACTTATCCAATTGCCTGCTGTAATATTTACTAAATGAGACTGATTAAACTGCCTTTTGTGAAGTAATTGGTAAGATTTTAATTCACAGAGGGAGTTTGAGGAAGCTAAAGAGAGAGTGAGAGAAATTAAAGACAAGGCCAAAAGATTGTTATCTATTGCCAAGAAAGCCACAGGGACAGCGGATAATGAGGAGTTATCTCAGGAAATCAGGGCGGTTAGTACATACAGACTTAGGAATGACAAGACCCATTCAGTCATATCATCTACAGCTGTTCATTTTGACCATAATATTAAAAATTGAAATTAATTTTATTTCGGTAAAAGAAAAATATTTTGAATCTGACTGCTATGATCATGATGATCAGAGAATATATGGCATGGTGTTTGTCAAAATCTTTTCATTATATAAAACTTGTTTATGCCTTATTTTGAAGTTATTTGTAATTTATCTACCCTCAGAGTATAATGTAATGTAAACAAACCTTTGTTCTAAAGGTCACTAAATACATCTGTCATTGATTTTGTGAGTGGTAAATTGTTTTCAAAGAGGGACAACTCTGAAATCTCTGTCATGATGATAAGTGAATCTCCAGTACACTTGGTACAGGAGTTACAGATAGAATGTGATAGATTAAAGAATCTTATATTGCAGTAATTAAGCAATTGACTCCCTGAAATTCAAGGGGGAAAAATTAATTAAATTAATGCTATAAGTTGGAATCAAAATGCTGATGATAGCTGGTGATTAACCATTGTGTTTTATGATGTATTTTTTTTTGCAGTTATTTAAGAACGTAATTGGTAATACAGTGGAAGAGATTGATGAGGAGATACACTTACAAGAGGCCAGGGCAGACTCACTGTATCAAACTGATGAAAGAGTAAGTCTGTTATTAAGAAGCTGAAGGTACAGTACATAGGACAACAAGTACAACAAGCAATTGATATTCATAAGATAACATAAGTCGTAAAACTCACTCACAGATATTTTTAGCACATGATTAAAAATTTGTTAACAGTAACTAATGAAAAGTTTCTTTACAGTACAGTAAAACTTGTTTAGTATGAACATTGATATTTTGAATTCACAGACATAGTGAAGTTTTCTTGGATCCCCAACTATGAAACGGATGTAAGGAATTATGGCTATAGCGAAATAATTTCACAGGTCCCAGTGACTTCGTTATAACAGAGTTTACTTTAAGTAATGAAAAGTTTGTTTACAGTTACTAATGACAGTAAGTGTAAAATATTCCTTCTCTGTTGTCCTCTAGGTTGTGCAAGAATACCGCACCCGCAAGACTGAGATCAACCAATTAGAAACAGAGATAGAAAATCGTGAAAGAGAAATTAGCGGCCATCAGGAGAGGATCGAGGAGATCAAGAGACAGTGGCTGGAGCCGCTGCGAGAACTGATGGAAAAAATCAACGAGAACTTCGGATACTTCTTCTCCTGTATGAACTGTGCTGGGGAGGTGGATCTCAGTGTTCCCGCTAATGAGGTGTGTAATTTACGTGTTGTATTGGGAGAAAGCTGAAAGAAGATTTCTATTTATAATTAAGGGGTGAATTTGGCATGTGGCAAGTCTGACCCTTAACAGATGGTTTTATGTAAATTATGCTGTAAACCATGTTAACTACAAGTATTTAAAGTCTCTGTTTTCAATTTACTTCACCCCCCTCCCCACTTCCACTAGCAATATTTGATTCATTTGTTAATGTATGGAAAAAATAACAGGTATTTTGCCTTCTAGGAGGATTATGAGAAGTATGGGGTGAGGATCAAGGTGAAATACCGAGACGCAGAGCAGCTGAGGGAGCTGAACATGCACCACCAGAGTGGTGGCGAGAGGAGCGTGGCTACCGTCCTGTATCTACTGGCCCTACAGGAGCTGGCCAAGTGTCCGTTCAGGTGTGTCGACGAAATCAATCAGGTATGTCCGCAGTATACAGCCCTTTTTATGATTTTTAGTTTCGAATGAAAGAAAATAACTTATTTATTTATCTTTACATTAGAAGGGAATTGATTAGAAATTGAGAATTGCACAGTAGATTATATTTTGTCAAAGATCTAAGGGCAGGTTACTCTAAATGCATAAAAATTCCGCAGAATCAGGGACTATAAAAATGTTGAGAATGATTGAATTGATGAGAAATGGAGAATTGCATATTATGTGCTTTTCATTTAAGATCTAAGGGCAGATTACTCTAACTGCTTAAAAATACCACTGAATCAGGAGTTCATTAACTGTAACTTGCATACTAAGTAGATGTCATAATTTTCTAATGGCATTAGCGAGTAAATGAAACCAAATAAAAAAAGGATCAGTTTTTTCATAGAAGAAAAGTAGCAAACTATACTAGAAGGTTTTGATATTATGAAACTTGAAAGAATACATAAACATGAAGTATGTAATATAACAAATGTTATCTGTTATCTTAAATCTACTTTTCTGTAATAGGGTATGGACCCAGTTAATGAAAGGAAAGTCTTTGAGTTGGTTGTTAAAACAGTCTGCCAGAGGTCCAGGTCCCAGTATTTCCTTCTTAGCCCCAAGGTATGGAAGTATTACTGTATCATTTCTTTTATTCTCCAAAAGTCTTTTTTAAGAGGACATGAAACACAGAGATACTATAAACCAACTTTTATTTGTGTTCGAGAAATAACCGTGAGTGTAGCGACCTACATTAATTCATGAATTTTTATTGCTGTGAACCCTTTCTTTTGCTTTAGTAGAGAATATTTCCGCAGCCGTGAACATGAATTTCAACCTGACGTGGCGAATAAAAGATGACTCTTATAATAGTTGGTTTACAGTACCCTTGTAGACTATTAGAACATACAGTTTTGTTCTTGTCTACTAATTCTGATATAAAACACTCGTTATTCTTTTATCAATGTTGTCATAGCCTCTGCAAAAAGAATATGGGAACTTTTTCCATTATCTACATGTACAACTTCTAAATGAATTCCATTCTAATTGGTTCTATAATATGTTCCAGCTATTACCAGATATGGATTATGCAGACAACATGACGTACCTTTGTGTCTACAATGGCCCTCACATGCTGAGTCATAAAGAGTGGGACCTCAAAAAGTTTATTCAGAGGAGGCGCAAACTAGGGAATGATGATTGAGTGAGAAAAAAAAATCCAACAAAATGAGGGACGTTTTGAAGATGCGAATGCATGGTGATAATGATTGCTCGAGCATTAAAGTGAAAATCAAACCTGAACAGTTTAAAAACTCCTGTTTATTTAAATATGAGGGAGGAAGTCGGTTATGATGTGGTTTTCTTTGGCTGAAATCCAATAATGGCCAAGGGAGACTGTATGTCTTTGTATATCCTCATGAGACGACTTTGTAACATGTTCCTGCGATTGTGTTGTATAGGGGATAGGTGATGTAGAAAGGTACTGGAAAGTGATGTACGTGCAATAGACAGACTATTTATGAACTTGCTTGAAACAGAACTAGTCATTTCTACTGTACAAAGATAAAGGAATTCTGCAACAACTGCTGTTGATATAAATTAACATTATTGGTTAAATCAATGTCACCAGTATAAACACAATACTCTTTTAAGAAAAATACTGTGCAAATATAAAGGGATACTGCCATTAACACTTGATAAATGAGCATGGTTCAAAATGACACCAGTGTATACAGCTCTGCACACTTTTTGAACTCGCATGGTTTTTAGTTCACATTAATGTCACTGTAATGAGGCAGCAAAAATTTATTTTAAAAGTGATTGTTTAACTTAATTTTTTTTTCAATAACTAAAAGGGATCGATTTATCATCTGTTTGATTGCTTTCATGCCAAAATGCTCGATATTTTTCAGAGTTACTTTCAGAAATCTAGTTTCATACGAGATTCATCCCAGTGCAAAATTTCAAAGTCTTCGACAATTAATGTAAAAGAATTTTACTTTTAATAGTAACAATTTACTATTTTGAAAGATAAAAAATATTCGTTCATTTTATATGTTATCCTAGCTTTTGTTTGGCATGTTTTTTTTTCACAGCATTATCTTTTTTGTGCTGCATTCTGACAAACCAAGATGAGTTTGGTAAATAAGCAGAGAAAACTACTTGCTTTGAAGAAATTGATTAGAAAATAACTTAATAGATTCAAAGAAAGCTTGATTAATTCAATTTGTAATTACCTATGGTAGAATCATGCGAATGTTACATCATACAATGTACTGTTTTTTGATGAACTTCCCTTTTCAAACATTGACTTTAAATTTAAAGATATGGTTTTTATGGATATGTACCTTTGAATTGAGGTATGTTATACATCTTGGGTGGTTATGTTGTTGTACTGAAGTTCAATAAAATTTTATTACAAGAAGAATGTGACCATAATTTGTGTGAAAAACTATGTGAGCTTTAAAAGTGTGAGGAACTGTGCACAACATCCTAATAGAGAGCTATATCATCTCGTTTTTATCAGATTTGATTTAAGCATGGAACTCGATCTTTAACTTTTGAATATAAATGAAACAGTATTTGTAATAAATGCAAAATCATTAACTAATGGTACAGTATATCGTCAGTAGATTTTTACATCACTGGTGATAGATAACATGTAATTAAAGTAAAAGACACATTACATTATGCTCTTTAAGGGAATGGTAAATAATGAAGGTCCAGTAGTTGTATTTTTGAATTTATGAATAAATTAAAATGGTTGTCTTAATTTTCATAAAATGTGTCCAACAACAGTGTTTTTTGATGGAAAAGTTAAAATATTTATTTCATGCTGAGCTCTTAATTCCACTCTTTTCATATTGTTTGTCAAATGTTTTGTACTCATTGTAAAAATTAGTTTAGTTTTTTTTTTGATATAGTGTAGTTGTGTTGTTCTGAATACAAATTTAAGTGTACCAAAGATCATCTCCTTTCTCATAAATGTCCCCCTCCCCTTTTGTTATCTTTTTATTTAGGTCAAATTTTACCAGAGATTTTTTTTTAGCATACCTGAGGAATGTTTACCCTTCAGTTTAATGTACTAAACAATGACTTATGATGCAGCTTGACCCTGATCAAGATTACTTGGATGAGGTGAAGGTCATTCCTTTACTCTGTGTATTGAGCTAGCTACAAGATGTAAAGTATATCTGAATAGTGCTATTTTCTTTATCATATATAAGTAAACATGCAAATGCAAATTTTTACCATGTGATTTCTGGACAAATATATCAGGAATCATTTTTTCTGTATTTCTGTAATATTTAAGAATCCAATTGTTTTTTAGATAATGGTTGTATTCTAAATCCTGAAATCTGAATCATGAAAACATGTTGAGTTCCATACTGTTGAAAAATTTTACCAAGGTTGATTTTAAATTTGGATGCATGAACATTTATCTCAGAAAAAATATTAGGATTTTTGATGTAATGATTGTAGTCCGAAAATGAAAGATCAACATTCTTGAAAAATGGACAGTTTCTTCCTATAATAAATGTTTATGTTGATGAATACTTTTTTATTTTGTTTGTCTCGTATTGTAAAGTATAAATGTCTCAAGTTTAAAATGAAACTGCCCCAAAGCTAGGTAACTGCGTAGTTCTAATGATGCACATTTAATCTATTACAGGAAAGAGCCATTTATGAAGGGGGCGATGCTATATCATAAATTTATGGCTCTGTCCAAAATTAAGATTAATATACTCTTCACTACAGAAGTGAATGAAAGTTTTTCTTCTTTATTTACATATAAATTACATGAAAATAATATATACATTGTAGCAATTAAAGAACGCACTAATAAAATGTAAATTTTATGTGCGGATGAAAAAAAGTTTGTTTTTACGTTCCATGGTCCAGAAAATGGCATATACGTAAACGAATGAAAATTACAAATTTTTTTGAAGATAGTATTTAATCAATTTTCACATTTATCAATTCATCATCAAAATTAAACCCCCCCCCCCCAATCAAAGATTTAATGCGGCATTCATTTTGACCTAATTATAACTTAAAAACAACAACATTTTTTTTAAAGAATAAAGCTACCAAATATATTCAATCAGTTTTTCTTTGGCGTCTTCCAATAGTTCCATCAATGTCCGATACAGTTTTCCCGAGACTGTCCTGTATGTTGGAAATGGCCACTTGAGCGTTATTCCCGATGCGAGCGCCCCCTCTCTCAATTCCGCGGAATTTTCCCATCAACCGTTGGAGATGTGGGCGTATGTGTGACGTGAAATCGGTAGCAGCGTGGTCTTGGGAACTATTGATGTTAATTCTGGCGCGCCTCTTGTTAAGTGTTGCAGCAGGTCTGGCACGACTAATGAACTTCATGAAATTTTGGACGTAATTTAGTACATTTGTAACGCCCCGTTTCCTTCTTGAGGGTATTTGCAAACCTTTTAAATGAAAGAGTAGGATATTGGTTCCAATTGTCAAAACTTGCAATGTTCAGTTCTCAAATTTTCTCTTTAAGAGCCAAAAGTGTAATGTAATTAAAACATGCTAAAAAATCAGAGAATTCAATTATCTTGCTATCAGCAGCTAGTTTTCGTCCCTGCATACATGCAAAATTAAATGAATCAGGATTGTAAGTGAAGTTGTAGTTAGATTCTTTTTGCCTTTGCTCCTTACCTCGCAAGCATTCTGGACTTTGCAAAATTCTGGTGAAAATACAATTATCCCTCAGTGGTGCCTTTTGGAATAAATTGTCTTTGAAGGCTTTCAAAATTTCGAAACAGGTGCTCTTCAGTAGAAACTGAAAATGAGGGAAGACAATCATTATTAACTTTGATAATAATAATTTTAATTTTAATAATTTCTTGTATAATTATATACCTAGCTGTAAACTTTTGAGCTGTTAATTAAATTGTTATATTCCATGAAAGCAGTTTTAAAATATTTGTTTATGAAATGTTCCTGAAGTAAATGCTCCCTTCTCTATGAGTGCGAATTCATCATCAGCTTGTTTATACATGCATATTTGGTCGGTACCTTTGAATCAGCAACGTTGACAAACGGACATATCTTCAGTGGAATCTGGAAAATGATTAAAAAAAAGACACCCATCAATACAAACTTTAACATAATAAGCCACTTCGTAAAAATGAGCATATTTCACTCATTGCACGAAAAATCCGTGTTTATACATGTAAGGAGTCGATCTTCGAAATTTGAAATACCCGCGATTGATCACCTATATTATGTGATAAACGTGATGGCTTCAACTTACATGTATCTAGCGCCACCTTCCCTTTAGTATTATGTAGCAACATACGGTATCCTTATCACCCACATGTAGGGTTTCTGTTTATCACTTCATTAGACACGCAAGAGCATGTTCTACTATATGTGCGAACAATTTCTAAATTGGGACAAGCTATTGTCAAACAAAAATAACAACAGTCTCGTTAAAAGTAATTTTGCCAGTTCCTTGGTCGATTGAATGACATTGTCAGCAAAGACAATCTATCATTAAGTCTAATGCTGATTTCTGTTTTTCATACTTCTTTCTGGACCATTTTGTGTACAGATATTTTTTCTTTTCCCCCATCATGACCTTGAGCACACGATATTTGCGTCCGCTCGACATGGGATGCCAATACTTCTCAATGGTACCCGATCCAACCTCCAGTGTTTTTAGAGGACTGTGTTTGCTTTGCTCCCATATTGTACATATTTCCTCTAGCATAAATAGGATAGATAGTGCATCTCCAGGAAGCGAATGATATTGTATATCCCTTAATGGTTGATGCATCCTTATACTGCAAGAGTGGTCAAGGTATGGTGATCTCTTAAATTTGCCATATGCATGCACATGGTCGTATAACAAATTGAAATGCCGAGGTTAAGCACAAAATTACCTCGACTTTGTGGAATGAGCTAATGATTTTATTATTGGTTCCAGCATAAGACTTGTTTTCAAATCATTTCCTTCTGACAATCTAGGAGTGCTCTCTTTATTAACACTCTGGGACTATGTTGTAATCTTTACCTTGTCCACCTGTGTACTTTGCTACAGGAAATGGTAACTAAATGTTCTTTTCCCGTGCGGATGTTTGTCATTAACCCAATTAAAGTGTAAATAAGACACACAAGGTAATCCTAGAAATTCATGTTATGTTCTTCCCACGGATTCTGGTAATAAAAATAGTTAACAATAGCTAATATGATAACCGATATCAAAACTCGTACATGTACATATCACTCTTGAAGAAGGGGGCATTCCCTGTCTGTGTTTCATATCTGCTGTTAGCCCGCTTTATGGCACGCCAAATTCACAAAAATGAGCTAATCAAAGTTTCACAGTTGATAAACTATGTTTATCGACTTTAATCTATAGTTTACGGTCCGTAAACTACAGTTAAACATGATAATCGATATTTCACATCTGTAAACTATAGTTTACTCGATAATCGATGTTTTACAAGCATTATAACTATAACATGTATAATTAACACTGAAAACAACCATTTGCGACTGTAAACTATTATGCTTCCTGTCAGCTTGTCTCTATATAACCCATACCCTACTATTCTCGCATAGTGGTCTAAGGATTTATATAGCGTAAGCATACTATGCCGAAATAGTGCACGGCTTTATTTACTGAATAAAATTCTTCCGTGCACATGCCGGGGATCGAACTCACGACCATGAGATTGTCAGTCCGATGCCTTATCGATTACGCCATAGAGACGATCACTGATTGGGGCAATTTTATTAAATATATAAACTTAATTTATACAATTGACACAAGAAGGAGAAAATAGACAAATATTATTTGAAAACAGTTATATTATTCTAAGGAACTTTAGATTAATGTGTACAACAAACTTTCAAACTAATTACATACAGATCGTTAGATGAACTGATTTTATAGGGTCTTTAAAACGCTTTTTTATATGACGCTTGATTGAAGGATGTAAAAGAAAATTATCAATGAGAATCGACGTCTGCAAACAAATAAGGCTTACGAACAAAACAGAAAATAAAGATGTGTTGCTTTGGGACAGAAAATCCCGACTTATTTAGAGAAAGTACTAGTAACCAAAATAAGAAAGCATGCAAACAATTTTAGCATAAATATTTTGAATTAGTTCTTGCAGGTGCGCTGTTTAAGCACCGATATTTTCAGGAAAAAGTCAAATAGATTGCCGCATAAATAATTACAACAGTCAGCATAATAATAACAATAGTGTTGCATTATGCATGTACTATGTATTATTTAGAGTACGAGTTTCCTACTGTATCAGAGATACAGGGCGGGGCTTGAGGCGAGAGCGATAGCTCGAGCCGGGCCCCGCCCTGTATCTCTGATACAGTAAAACGAGTATTCTAAATGACTTGTGACATGACCTTTCCAAGGACCTCACTAATTTACATGCGTATTTGGGTACATACCTCCCAACCAATCAGATGATTTTGCAGAAAGTTGATTTAGTGTCCCATTTTAAGCATTCGCAGCTGAAATGCCGAGTGAGATGGACGTGCAGGTATCTATCATTTTAAAATAATTATTTAAGGGATGCATAAATTAATTTGTTCTCCAAAAATTTTATTTAGATTTGATTGCGCAGGGTGTTTTTTTTTCTCTATGCAGCTCTTGCTGACATTTTTTTTTCAGTTTAAGCTACGATTTAATGCAAAACATTTTGATATATAAGAATCATGTGGGAATATTTTTGAAACAAAAATGCTTCGGGAGATCGTAGATTCTGAGAGAAATGTCCTCCACCGATCGTCATATACAAATTGAAATAAGCAGATGAAAGGAAGGGGGGGGGGGTATTTTACGATCATGTTTTCATTAAAATGTAGAGTAACTAAAAAGGGGAATACAGCACTCACTGGTGCCCCCATCCCACCTCCTTTGAGTTTTTTTTCTTTTTCGCTTTCGTAAATAATTTTTTTTTCCTAATCTTGTATACATACGCTACGCTTTTTAATTCGTCAACAAGTAACGAAATGACGCACATAGGTGTTGGTTGATTATAAATATAACCCCACGGAATACGATTTTCCTTTTTTTTGGGGGGGGGGGTCAAAGTAATAATTTGTGAACTTCCCCACGTTCTCCTTTCTAAAATTTTTGAATCCGACAATAATACCTTTACGTTGTAAAATTTTATTCTTAATTCACTTCAATTTTTGAGTAAATACTAACAGTTCTATGGCGAATTGAACGATTGGTATGTCTGTATATGGATACAGCTTTCCGTCACCGCTAAATATAAACCGTACTGTATCGTTGATATTTTGCAGATACAGTACAGTTTCTGCTCATTTGCATAAGAAACGCCCACAAAAAGTGTTCTGTATCGCAGTTACAGTATGCTTGACTTCAAAGGAAAACTCACCGGGTCATGTCACAAGCCTAAATAGTAGGCAGGGTTTGACACATAGTGCACTCGCCTCCGGCTCGTGCACCATGTGTCAAACCCTGCCTACTATTTAGGCATAGTACATGCATAATGCAACACTATTATATAAATTTAGTTGATCTGATAAAT